TTTCCTTGTTCACGTCTTTAACATTAATATTCATGCATTTACAAGTTTTGTCCTTTTTTAACATTCCTAAATTAGGTTCTGTTGTAAGGGATGTTGGAGATTCTGCATGGTTTATAGCATGTATATATAAACCGTATATATATGTAATTGGAAAGTCAAGAATTGGGATATGTGAGTGGTGTACAAAAAAGGCTAATAATGATTCAACGTCCTATTTTCCAGGGGAGAGATCACTAGCGCATTTATTTACGACGCAGAGGATTTGGATACTGCCAATTGATTGAAAAAACACGATTGATTTTTTTCTTTTTCTTTTTTGTTTGTTTGTTGTTTTTTTTTTCGGGGGGGGGGGGGGGGTCGAACCAAGTTATTTTCTGTTTTTGCTTTGAAATATGTGTAGCTTTTTAGAAACATTGCTATTAGATTATGTTTGCTTTAGATAATTGTTTTTCAATAATTTACGATATTATGGCAAGAGTGTCAAGATGTTGATTGTTATTTTCCATTAAGCAGATGGCTATAAAAATTCAACACGTGGTTTGGTTCAAACAAACACACTCAGAATTGGAGCACAGGATTCCGTTTTCTGTCTCGGTTCTCAATATTTAATTTTAACGTTTCAACCTTAGCACTGGGATTCAGATACGACAATCTGTTATCGTAATTTGTTTACAGGATATCAACTTTCAAACTTAGAAAGTGAAAGGGGGTGGTCGTAATCTGGAATTAAAAAAGATTGCTTGATGAGTATAATTTCTTTTAGAACAAATGTATCCATATCTACAGTAAAAAGTGCATGTTTTTACGTATGAGTATGTAATTAAGTTAGATCAATCTTCTTTTATCACTTCCCGTAGATGCTTGTAAATACGGTTGTTTTTAATAAAACTTCATTACCATCAAAAATATCCAAAGTATTTGAAACAAACAACAAAATATTTTTTTATCGACAATTGCAATAACTGCTAAACGAGTCTATCGTTTTCCACATCCTTGACACACATCTAAAACAGTCATCTTAGTATGTTTTTCAAATTATTCATTATGTATATTTTATAATTTGATTCATCTTCATGATAATAGTTTATTTAATTCAGTAAAATGTCATGCTCCTTTTTTAAGCTGTATCTGACTCGCCAGCGGGGGAGATTTGTGATCAATTCAGTACAGGCACGCGGATAATCGGCAATAATATTCTGTTTGTTGACGATTACTGAGGGATTGATAGTGTTATCATCCTAGGCGTCTCTGGGGCAAAATTGTTACAGCAAATACCCGTCAAATAATCCCTCCAAACATCGATGCACCATGTGTAAATGGCTCTCATGCTCCCAGCAACACTTATTTTGCACTATGGTCCTGCTCGTCATCAGAATAAGGAAAAATAAGCTATATATTGGTGATAACGATAGAATGACGCTATCAGTAGGAAACGTATGAATGGACTCTAAATATACGTAATTGCGGGCTAGAGGGGCACACACAGTACACTGGGATAAGTTTTATTGATAAATGCTACTTGAATAATTTGATGCCTCCTACCCATATTTCCGGCCAGTTAGGTTTGAAAGTGTTTTCTCCAGATATTCTATTAAAATTACCTGCATGTTGTGAATATTTGTTAGTCACATGTCATTTTTCAAAATGAATTCATCATAAGATTTTTTTTTATATGTTTCCATATTTATTTTATTTACAAGGGCAATTATATGCACATTGTTTTTCTCGATTCATTATTTAGAATGTAAATTAGATTAAAAAGTAAATAAATGGAACAGTTGAGCAGGTATGCGAACAAAGTAATATCTTCAAATTTAAACAATCTTCAACAACATCAGATCATACGCTTTTAGTATTTACAAGACAAACTTACGGTGAGACTATTCAGGTGGTACAAAAAGCTAGAATATAAAATAGTAAACTAACTGTATGGCAAATTGAACATGTTTGTCAGATCAGTTTCTATAGACTGTTTGCATGATATTCAACTAATTGCCAAGCATTGAATTTTTTAAAAACAAGAACAATTTATTAAATGTAGAAACGGGTGGCTTTAGCAGAACATTTTGATATAATCAATCTATGTGATTAACAGGTTATCAAACTTTTTACTTGCATGAACAAGTGACTTGCACGACTTCTTTTATATAGCAATGTAAAATTGTGTCTCGTGTTTAGAGATAAAAGTATTTCTTGGAAGATGTTAGTTAAGAAGGGTCAGGGTAAACAGAAAAAAAAACCAAGTTTCTGTTGCCTTAAAAAATGAGTTCGGAAATTTTGAAGCATTTTACTTTTCAGCATCCGTAGTGTTACTAAATTAGTATCATTATGCTATCGTTTTTCATTCTGTTTTTCAAAGAAAATTCATTAATGTTAATTTTGATGCTAATTCTTTACTGCAGAATTTCTGGAAGCGGAATCTGCATGTAAGTGTTGTAGTACGTAACTGTACATTCATTTTGACAGAGAAAATAATTTATACTCATGTATTTTTTTTTTCTCAGCTAAAGTTACATGGTGATTCTGAAAAATGCTAAATTTATATTAAAATCTCAGATCGTGGCAAAATTGAAAACAAAAGGAAGAAAAAATGTAGTTTGACAACTCTGCATAAATTCATATCCATTCTCGTTTTTCACAATAATGTTTCAGCATGAACAGAACACTGTTTACAGATACGAATTTGGTCATGAATAGAATTTAAAACAGGTTTTAACTGTAAGTAGCAGGATGTTCATGTGCTACACGATATGCTGAAATTGATAAAAAATTGCTTGAGAAAGTTTTTAAACATAGATATTTCAATCACGTCAAAAATGTGGTCGACAAAAATATACCAAAGTATGGACGACATCATCCATGATATGATATGCAAAAACAGAGGGATGACGTAAACAAGAATTAAATATATATACAATTTGATTTCAAATACTGTATTACATAATAGAATTTTTGTTTAGTTTGCGTGATTAATATACTAGTATCCTCCTGGTTTTACCAACAAATTAAATTTCAAAGGGCAGAAAACATGAAATATAATTTTTAAAAAGACTTTTTTGCAAATTTGTAATGCTTCGTTTTCAAATCCGTAAGATATAGAACAATGACTAGTCTAACTAGGTTCCTTAACAGAAGAAAATTAGCATCTTCGCTTGCCAAGGGTTTCCGATTCGAAGTCTACTCTATCCTAGGCAAGCGAAGATGGACAGGCCCGTAGCAACGGTTTCAAAAGTGGGGGCCGGAGGGAGCAACTTCCCAAAAAAATCTGACAAGCAAAAAAAACCAAACAAAACAAAACCTAAACTGACTAAAAGTGTGTGTGTGGGGAGGGGGGGGGGAGGCAACTTCCCAAAATTATATGACAAGCAAAAAAAAAGCTAATTTACTGTTTTACTGTCCAAATCCTGGAATTTGCCAGTGCTCGACCTTACAACATCAAAAAGTGGGGGCCAACCAGCATCTAAAGGAAAATTTACTTTAACAAAATATTATACTTACAAAAAAGTGGGCCCCCCCCCCCCTGCGTTCTACGGGCTTGATGGACAATTAGATACATCGAAAATAGTATCTTTTTTACCCACGAATCTTTTCAAGTCCAAAATGAAAGTCACAGTTTCTCGTATGGCGTCCGACTCATTCAATCACTTTTACCTCGTAAAAGAATTGTATTATCAGCACATGCCAGTATGTTTTTAAAGCTTGTTATTTTTATATTAGAGCCTTCGTGAGAAATAGAAAGTAGTCCTTATTGCCAGATTATTATTTGGGTAATCAATGAAATCTTAATTTTTAAGATAAGACTCATGCTAAATAAACATATTAATGAGAAATATCCAAATCATACGCAAGTTTAATTTTTAAGTTTACATGCATTGCACAAGAAGATTTGATTCTGTATTTTAATTAAGCGTGTGTGTGATCTTGATATTTTGGTCAATTTCATTTTCAACCTTATTCAAAGAATACTATTGTTTCAGTGGCTCCATCAGGAACTTCGGGGAAACCGTTTATGTAAAAACTAACAAAACGTGAATTATTAATTAACTTTTTTTTTAGCAAAATGTTTATCTTATACGCTATGTGTATTCCTTGTGACAAGACCTTTCTTTGGGTACCATCATATTTGACCTTTTGACCTTGACCTTGGAGTTTGAACCAGTTTTACAAAATTTTACCCAATTTTAACCTTGGCCATAACTTTTGAACAATTGGTGCTGGGGCTTTCATACTTCACATGTGTAATCCTTGTGACAAGGCCTGCCTTTGGATACCAACAACTTTGACCCTTTGACCTTGACCTAGGAGTTTGACCTACTTTTAAAAAACTTTAACCTTGGCCATAACTTTTGAACGGTTGGGCTAGGGCTTTCATGTTTCACATGTGTATTTCTTGTGAGAATGCCTTTCCTTGGGCACCATTAATTTTGACCATTTGACCTTGATGTTTGACATACTTTTGAAAAACTTTAACCTTCTCCATATCTATTCAATGGTTTCATATTTCAAAGGTATATTCCTCGAGACAAAACCTTACTTTGGGTACCAACATATTTGATTTGCATTTGAGAAAGTTTTAACCTTCGCTACAAGTTGCCATACGGGGGCATCAGTGTTTCACAAACACATCGTGTTTTTTATATTATAAGATACTACTGTATAATTCCTTGAAACTTTTCGAATTGACTAAGCCCACTAAGGAGGAAAAGTAATTAACGGTTGGACAAGAAAAAAAATTAAAATGGGAAAAGTTGTTTTTCCTCTTTCAAATAAAAAAGCCATGACATTTTCTTTTCAAAGCTTATTTTAAAATTTGTATAAGGTACAAAACTACAAGTTCCGTTTGAAAAGGAAATATCCAGGATTTTTGCCCCCCCCCCCCCCCCAAAAAAAATTCCTCGGGTTTGAACTGAAAACAAGTCGGGCTCGAAAATCTTTACTTTCGATTTGCATTTTATTTCTTCAGCAAAATGATCACATAACTTCATAAGAAGTCATGTCTGTTTGTTTAAGGTTATAGACCTTTATTTTTATGCTGTTGTCGGTTTTGCGGTATAGGTGGCCCTCGGCAATGTTGTAAAGCTGCCAAAATTACGGGAGGATGGGGTGATGGCTGACAGATCGATCTTGATTTTTTGAAATCCTATTCTCTATTTTTCGGGGATAATGGATCATCAGCAAAATTTGTATTTTGACAAAAATTTACTCAAAATGTCAATCTAAAGCGATAAAGGCAAAAAAGATGAGACCTGGGTTGTTTATTGTGTGTCTAATTACAGCGTTGAGCTGGAAATCTGTACTAAGTGGACATGACTGCGTTCATCGCCCGCCCACGCCTGAGGAGGTGAGATGATTAACTTTCTACATTTTTATTTGAAATATCAGGTTGCTTTTACATTATTATTAGCCCTTTTTTATGTCCAAAACACCATTCATGGTGATATGTACAAAATTATATGATTATTAATATTTATGCAAATTCTTCTTAGTACATTTTCCAGGTTAGATTAAAGATTTGGGGTTTTTGTACATTATTATTCATTATTGTAATGTATTGTAAATATTACAAGTCAAAAACCAAGGAAGCATTTCCTCTTATTTATATTTTTGAAGTTTTTATTACCTATATTTAGGTTGTTTATGATGTGAAAATAGATGGCCACTGGAATATAACAAAAAGAAGTGTACATCAGCAACTTAGAATCAAAACTATTATTGACAGCAGTATTAGGAAACTCCCATACTCTCACCAGCATTTGATCAATGTAAATATATTAATTTGTATTTGGAAAGGCCAGAGACCTATATACTAACGGGATAGGCAACTCTCGCAAGTCTCGGGATACCTCGTAAGTTGCGTGATTTCGTAAGTCAATTTTAATTAAATATATCTCTTTTGCTATCAAATATTTCAGAATAAAATCTTAATTTATCTATCAAAAAATCATTCAAGATTTGTTATTAGCACTGTTTTTACTCCTTATCTTAGTAGTAATTACGTTTATTTAAAAATCAGTGCATGCCCCTGATCGGCCGTATTTCCGAGAAATCGCCGATTTTGGTGGTTGTTAACTTAATATCTAAATTAGTTTATAATATGAGCTTTAAAATTTATTAAATATCCATTCTGATACACAAAAAGAACAGATTACATTAATCAGAAAACAAGCTTTTTTTCTGGGAATTTTAAAAAACATAGTTTGAAAAACTTGCAGTGTTGTGTGTGCCGTTTTGGGTAAATAAACATGGCGCTGAAGGAGTTGCATATCCCGTTAGTATATAGGTCTCTGGAAAGGCTTATTAAAAAAACTCTGCAAGTTAGATGTTACAATCATGTAAAATATTTGCTTGAATTTATTGATACTTCATTGTATTCATTGATTAAGAAGACTAAAAAAATATATTATCATAGAAATTAGATATTCATATTTAAGATATTTTGTAGACACTTGTCCAAGAAGCTGTACAATATTGGGAGAATACCCTAAAAGTCAAACGTTCATCAGCAAGTGCCATCCGCCTCAATAGGTACACCTACAAACTTAATGGCAATTATTTCAAATTGATTTCAATAAATGTTCCAGTTGAAACCCGAAAACAATTAATTCAATCAAATAAATTTGACTGTGGCTAATCCATTTTATCCATACTCTAAAAAAATCATTATTGCAAAAATAATTTGTTTACTACAAAAATTTCAGGTTTTTTTTCACATTTAAGAATCAGAGAAAAATTGTTAAAAACTTATTTTTGGATGATTATTTTGAGCATAGCAAAAATGCAAATGTTGAATTCCTGCCCATTATTATCTGAATAATTTTACACAAATATCATGATGTTGTTCTTTAATTTGATAGAATAAATGTAGAAAAGCATTGGGCAAAATTGATTGACACTTTAGGTTCTCTGTTATACAGTCACTGTAAATATTTCTTTTGATGGTTTGTAGGCAGTGTGTCAATAACATGGTTGTGTATGATAAAGGTGATCGTTACTGTGTAGATCTCTGTTCTCCAAAAACAAGATGTGGTGATTTTCTTATTCCAGAGGATCATTTAGAGGTTTCTTTTTATTTCATTGTTAGAATCAATTGTTTTTAGTCTCTGATTATTGACAAAATATGTAATAATGGCATGCTCATTAATAGTTTAGTGCTTTAAAGCATTTTGACTTCAAGATTTTGTACTTGTACATGTAAATTAAAGCACAATGTTTTTAGAGGTGTTACTATCATGATCAACGTACTGGTGCACTTCGCAGCTCAGGACAGGCTGGAGCAGGTGTTTCAAATGCTGATTTTATTCTTTATGTGGCAGCTTTACCATCATTTAAATGTCAACAAGCCAAAACAATTGCTTATGCTGCTCACTGCCAACAGGAGATTGTGCAAGACAGGTAAGATATTTTTAAAGACTTTTTTTTAACTGATTTTCTTTTAAAAGTGATACCTAAGTGATGTTTATGATGTAATGTTCTTTACAAAGGTATACGAGGGGCATTTCAAAAGTTCTGGCAACTGGTATATAAAATTTTAACTACGTTACGGATTAAAATGACTCTGATACCACTGTAAAGCTTACCGGTAGGCAAATATGTATTAGCAGTGACGTCATTTTACATTCAAAATGACGTATAGGTCTGCTAAAATGACGTCATAATTAGGTATACTCTGTATACTGGGCGTAAAAATGACTGATAAGGAGAACAATTTTTTTGTTGAGCAAAGAGCGTATTGCAAAATTCGATCATTGCTTGGCTTTACGGCAACAGAAATAAAAGCCGATTTAGATGTAGTATATAGAGAGCATGCTCTTTCATATCGAGCAATAGCAAGATGGGTAGTTCAATTTAAAGAGGGTAGAAAATCAATTGAAGATGACCCCCGTTTGGGGCGTCCAGTTTGTGCATATGGCGAAAAAGAAATCGTCGCTGTTCAAAATACGATAGCTGATGATGCTAGATATACAGTTGAGGAAATAGCAGACTTAACTAACATTAATTCATCAGCAGTTTATTTTAAAGGAAAACTTAAAGCTTAGGAAAGTCTGTGCTAGATGGGTGCCACATCTTCTCTCGGAAGAGCGAAAGCGCATCCGAGTAGAAATGGCTTCATAGTTACTAACAATTTATGAAGATTGTGACCAAAGGCGAATAAATGAGATTGTAACTGGTGATGAAACATGTATATATTTTTTTGAACCGGAAACTAAGCTCAATAATAAAGTTTGGATCGGTGAAAATGATACAAGGCCTCAAATTGCACGCAGAAACCGGTCTGTCCGGAGAGTAATGTATGCCTTATTTTTTTATTCTAAAGGCCCTGTTGCTCAAGTTCCAGTTCCAGAACACAGCAGTGTTACTGGTCAATTTTATGCAGAGAATGTCTTGTCTCAGGTTGTAGAGCACTATAAAACGACCCGACCAACAACCAGTACTAGAGGAATAAAGCTCCTCCATGACAACGCACCTGCCCATAGATCAGAGGTAGTTACCAAATATTTAAAGGAAAATGGTATTGCCGTTTTACCACATCCACCCTACAGTCCTGACCTAGCTCCATGCGATTTTTGGTTGAATGCAGTTATCAAAGAAGCCCTCCAAGGACGGCGATTTGAAAGTGGTCATGCAGTCGGAAGTGCCGTATTCCAGTGTATGAAGCATATACCGAAAGAGGACTAAAGGGCAGCATTTTCCACATGGATTTCAAGACTGAAAAAGTGTGTCCAGGTCAACGGAGACTATTTTGAGGGACTGATATAATTTAATTTATGATAATGACGCTCATTAATTTACCGCACACCAGTTGCCAGAACTTTCGAAATTCCCCCCGTACATGTAGTTTGCTTCCAATAGCAGCAAACAAATAAAACAGGATTTAATTTATACTTGTGTAAAATCGCATGTTTTTGTGGGGTCAGATTTTTGTGGTTTGGGGAAAAATTATTGGTTTGTGAGTTGTTATAGATTTGAAAATTTAGATTTCATGAATGGCATGAGTTTGTGGGTCTTTTGATACCTTGAGAACAATGAAAATCAAACTCCCATGAAAATTAGTGATTTCACAGTATGTCAAAACACTGCTTACGTAGAAAATTGTCAGTGAGTGCGAGAACCTCTTTATTACAGACCTGTAGCTGGTTACATCAGTATATGTCCTGATTCTGTGTCAACTCGCACGCATGACCGAACTCAGCTCCTGTCCACGATGAAACATGAAATCTTGCATGCTTTGGTAATGTGTTGTGTTACATTAAATAACAATTAAATTTAACCTTGAGTCACTAAACGATCTGCAAAATGTATATGAAAAATATTATCCATGACATAATAATACATGCATGTATATATACCAGAGTAATTTTTATGCAGGTGACTGTTACTATTTAGCGGATTTTTTTTAGGGTTTCTCTGCTGGGTTGTATGCTTTCTTCCGTGACCAGTTTGGAAACCCCTTAACACCTAGAGACCCCTCCAGTAATAAACCACTCTACACAGACCCAAGGTAAAAGAAAATAAATATACACATTAAATGTGAGAAGATGAATGCTTGTTCATAAAGACATCTTAATTTTATTGAACCTTTGTTAGTTAATTAAACACAATGACCGAGTCCTGTTTTTAGGTGCTGTAAAATGCAAAAAAGATGTTTAAAGGATGTTTCAATTTGTGAAACACAGTATATGTATTTTATTTCTGTGGTTACAGATCCAAATTCTACCTGTGGAGTGATCGTGTGATGAAAGAAGTGATACGATATGGCTGGAAAACTGCAGGAGGGCAGATAATCAGGAGGGTCAATATGATTGTAACCCCAGCAGTCAAGGTACAGGCTGAAATAGAACTCATGGTATAATGGTGTCCAGAGGACTGTCAATCAGGATTTAAATATTAAGATTTATTTAAAGTTTGCAAGTTAACAGATCAACACAGCTCTGCTGGACTTTTGACTTATTTTTACAGAAAGATACATGTATTATAAAAAGAAACTGTATACAGCATGATACAAACATGCATATAAAAACAGTGTTCAAAATGACTGAAGAAAACCTGTATTTGAAAAAAAAAATATGCATTTACATGTTCTTGCATAAATACATGTATATTTGATTCTCTTTTTCCTAAATCCAAAAAAAATTGCAATTATTAAAACAGAGAGAAGTTAGACGTCACTTTAACTGTCCTACATTGGAGGGGGCCGAGGTAGAAAACCAAGGAATATATGGAACCTCGATCACACACTGGGAAAAACGATTGTTTGAGGTCAGTATGCCTCTCAGTATTTCTTTTATTAATCATGGAGAAGTACTTCCTACAACCAACACTTGATTTGCATTACATTATATAATGTTTCCTTTGTATTTTTTTAAGTCAAAAGGCTCTAAAAAGTACAGTGTATTGGTAGCATGTTACATACTTTGATACATGTAGATTCAGGATGATAATATTAAGGATGTGTGTAAATTTACATTAAATTTGATAAAAAAATGCTACTTATGGTAAACATGGTTATGTTCTTAGCAGCCGTCTATAAAATAAAGATTCTGTCATTATTTTCACAGAACGAGGTGATGACAGGTACTTACACACAGAATCCTGTGGTTTCCAGGGTAACGCTGGCTCTGATGGAGGATACTGGGTAAAATAACTGTGCAGAGGCTTCTGCAAAACACAAACTAGGTCTCCTTAGTATGAAAAGCAAGGGTCAAGTTTAATCACATTAAAAAGTCTTGTGAAAGTTTGTAGATTGAAGTTTTCTGGTATGTGTACTTCATAATTGTGGCAGACAAAAAATACACTGAATGATCAATGCTTTTTGGAAACATATGTGCAGAATCAAATTGCATGACAATTTAAATGTTGTGTATACTAGCAGAAGTATGTTTAAAATGACCTTGAAATACCTAAATTATTTGTAAATAATTACATATCTGACTTAGCACTTTAAAATGTTATTTCAAGATGGTACCAAGTGAATTATAACACTGCAGAAGAATTGGAGTGGGGTAAAAACCTAGGTTGTGATTTTGTGACCAAGAGTTGCAAGGACTGGATGGATACACACAAGCCTCCGTAAGTAGTGTGATAAATGAAACACCTATCTAGATAATAGCAAATACGTGTACAATGTGTCATTGAATTTGTCAAGTATGACGTAAATACAAAGTTTTGATAAATATTGATGGACTTTTCAGGTTGCTAGACATGCACCCTTATTGTAAGCAGATCAGACAAGGAATGCTAAGGACAGACTGTACACGAAATAGGAAAGCTGTGGCCTTCTGTAATCTAGCAGTATACTCAGGACCCTTACCTCCAGAATATCAGGTCAGTACCTTACCCTGGAGCATTAGGTCAATACCTTACCTTCAAAGATTTTCAGGCTAGTACCTCACCCCTGTAACATCAGATCAGTACTTATTCCCCCTCCCCCCATCTTCACTAGCCAAGGGTTTCTGATCCGCAACTCTCCACATAAACCCTTGTGCTATCTTGATATCAATAGTCACGATTTTCTTCTCAAGTCGTGGTTGGAGTCAGTTGATATGGTTCGACCAATCAGCAAATGCTTTTGTAAATGACGACATCTTTGATCAGGATATATCTTGACTCTTTAGTCTTGGGAATGAAAAGCACTAGTAAACAATGTTCCGTAAGATAATGTCATTCTGTAAATAGCTTTAAGCATATATACACATAATGTGATCAGAAATCCATATTGCAGATATAGATTTGCACCCTACATATCAAATAAACATCGCTCGATATCTGCTTGATTCATTAAATACTTATATTTTTAATACACTTTTTATTTCTATCAATGATGCAATCTGTGCATATGTGGTAAGATTCGAGATCATGTGACGTAAACAATCCCGAACTTGACAGCATCATAGGCCAAGGGTTTATGAGGAGAGTAGTGGATCAGAAACCCTTGGCTAGTGAAGATGCCCTCCCCCTACCGAATATCAGGTCAGTACCTTATTGTGGAGCCCCCACCCTCCTCCCAAAAACACTTAAGAACACTAGGTCATTTCCTCACCCCGGTAACATCAGATCAGTACTTAACCCTCCCCCACCCCCATAATTCAGGTCAGTACCTTACCCTGAAGTCCCCTCCCTCAAGAACACCAGGTTAGTACCTCACCCCTGTAAAATCAGATTAATCTTTACCCCCATAATATCAGGTCAGTACCTTACTCTGGAGCATCAGGTTAATACGTTACCTCCAATAATGTCAAGTCAGTACCTTATCTCCATAAGTACAAGATCACCAGTACCTTACTCATGGAACATCAGGTCAGATGTAGAATTTGATATTCTAAAGATAATAATAAAGCAACAAAAGGAAAGATAAAAACCAATTTGATTTTCAATTTACTTCATACTATACATTAGTTTAACTGTAATTTAATTCTAGGTAAGAATTTGATCAACATACATATACATGTATGTATAATATATGCAAGCATTTTTTTCTAATAATTATTTAACATTCAAAGTTATAGATTCAACTGAGGCTTTTAATATTACAGGTGATTGTTAAGTTCTTTTGTCATACTGTTTCTGGTCACTGACATCTGCCTGCATTTTCTGTTTATAGTATTTTACCTCCTCATCAGGAGTGCAGTGGTCGGGTGATTACAGAAGACTGGGGGGCTCTGTAGAGCTGGCAGATTATTGTCCATACCTACAGGTAAAGGAGATTACAGAAGACTGGGGGGGGGGGGGGGGGGGCTCTGTAGAGCTTGCAGATTACTGTCTGTACCTACAGGTAAGGGGATTACAGAAGACTGGAAGGGGGGGGGGGGGGCTCTGTAGAGCTGGCAGATTACTGTCCATACCTACAGGTAAGGGGATTACAGAAGACTGGGGGGGGGGGGGGGGCTCTGTAGAGCTGGCAGATTACTGTCCATACCTACAGGTAAGGGGATTACAGAAGACTGGGGGGGGGGGGCTCTGTAGAGCTGGCAGATTATTGTCTGTACTTACAGGTAAGGGGGATTACAGAAGACTGGGGGGCTCTGTAGAGCTGGCAGATTACTGTCCATACTTACAGGTAAGGGGATTACAGAAGACTGGGGGGCTCTGTAGAGCTGGCAGATTACTGTCCATACTTACAGGTAAGGGGATTACAGAAGACTGGGGGGCTCTGTAGAGCTGGCAGATTATTGTCCGTACCTACAGGTAAGGGGGGTTACAGAAGACTGGGGGAGAGGCTCTGTTGACAGATTACTGTCCATACCTACAGGTAAACTTCATTTTCATCTACAGAAATATTTCTTCACAAGATAGTCTTAATGGCTCTAATCCATAAAGAATTTTTGTTTGCTTTGTTCTCTAGGGGTTTTTGTTTTTGTTGTGTTTTAGGAATTTATTTGGAAGGAGAATGGTGTAAATACTCGAGATTCCAGATGTTTTCTGCCAGGGAACGTCCCAAGTAAGCAAAGGGGAAGACTAATAATCATAATAGAAGAGTTAGAAAATGGAACAAGGGGATCAGAATGTTATGTTATCAGAGTAAACATTATTAAAATATATTGGTTTTAAAATCTAAGAATCTGTCACAAAAACCTTAATTTTGGAGGTTTTTCTAGGGTAGAATTTTTCTATTGTGACTTTATTGTAGAACCCTCTCAGAACTTCTATGGAGAATCTTATGGTGCTAACTCTATCTGTGTCAATCATGGATCTTCTTTGTGGAGTCTGCAGCATTGTAACCGCTTGATCCACACCACACATGGTGGTAGTGGCTGTTACCAGGTATGTGTATGATAAACTCCTCTTATGCTACTATAACCAGAGAGGGAGAAAACCCCAACCGGACCAGGATTTGAACCCGGGCCCCCTGTATCACTAGTCAGTTGCTTTACCAACTGAGCTATCTGGCCACTGGCAGTCAAACCTGCCTGACCGCCACATTCCTTCTCACTCCCTGCAAATTTATCACCTAGTGTTCTTACTCAATTAGTAGGCCATAGTTTGGCATCTAAATCAATAAAAGTTGTTATAATAGTGTAACTATTTTTCTGCTGAAATACATGCAAACATTCTTATCAAGTCATCTTTCATAATCATATCAAGACATCATTTCTATAATTCACTCAATCAAAAGGTGTGGTTGTAAAATGAGGTTTGAGATTTTTTGTACCAAGATTTAATATACATGTACATGTATTTTTGCAGATAATAATGAAAGAAAGATTAATTGTATACATGTATATATTTTTTAGTATGAGTGTAGTGCATAGCACTACTTGTTTAGTGTTATCTGTACATGTAATGAGTTATCTGTGTCTACAAATATTATTTATTATAAGACTGAATAATTCCTGTTTTCTCTGATTGGCTGAGATCCAACAATGTCAGAAAAATACTATGTTATGTTCACTTGCACATGACCCTCCAGGTGAATATAAGGATTTATTTTTGTCCACATTAGTCTGAAAATAGACTGGGAAGTTCTAAATTGATAAAAATAGTTTTGGAAAGTTATTTCACTTGCACCTGACCACCACTCGTATGAACATAATATTAAGGCACATAGAATCTTGGGGAGGGGTGGGTGTGAGGAGTGGGGGTGTTGTAGGAGGCCTGTCCCTCTCCCACACCTTTTTAGCTCACCTGAGCCGAAGGCTCAAGTGAGCTTTTCTGATTAAAATTTGTCCGTTGTCTGTCGTCGGCGTCGTTGGCGTTGTCGTTGTTGTTGTCGTAAACTTTTCACCTTTTCATCTTCTTCTCCAGAACTACTGGGCCAATTTCAATCAAACTTGGCACAAAGTATCCTTGGGTGAAGGGGATTCAAATTTGTACAAATGAAGGGCCACGCCCTCCTCCAAGGGGAGATCATTACGAAATGGCAAAAAATTAATGGCATTATTGAAAAGTCTTCTTCTCAAGAACCAATGGGCCAGGAAAGATGAAACTCATGTGGAATTATTGTCAGGTAGTGTAGATTCAAGTTTGTTCAAATCATGACCCAGGGGGGTAGGGTGGGGCCACAATGGACGATCAAAGTTTAACATAGGTGTATATAGGAAAAATCTTCAAAAATCTTCTTCTCAAGAACAGCAAAGCTATGATTGGTAATATTTATATGGAAGCATCCTTAGGTGATGTGGGTTCAAGTTTGTTCAAATCATGACCCAGGGGGGTAGGGTGGGGCCATAATGGAAGATTAAAGTTTAACATAGGAGTATGTAGGAAAAATCTTCTTCTCAAGAACAGCAAACTTATGATTCGTCATATTTATTTTCAAGCACCCTCAGGTGGTGTAGATTCAAGTTTGTTCAAATCATGACCCTCGTGGGTAGGGTGGGGCCACAATGGACCATCAAAGTTTTACATAGGAATATATAGGAAAAATCTTCAAAAATCTTGTTCTCAAGAACAGCAAAGCTTTGATTGGTAATATTTATATGGAAGCATCCTCAGTTGGTGTAGATTCAAGTTTGTTCAAATCATGACCTCCAGGGGTAGGTTGGGGCCACAATGAAAGTTCAAACTTGTAGAGAAAAAAGTCACAGTTAGTCAAAAAATCATGTAAGCATCCTTAGTTAGTGTAGATTTCATTTTGTTCAAATCATACCCCCCACTCCCTTTTAGGGGTAGGTTGGGACCACTTATGCATTTAAACTTTTCAATACTAAACTGATTTTTCTTCTTTTCCTAGCCACAGTGCTCAGGTGAGCAATGTGGCCCCTGGGCCTCTTGTTTAATTTTAATTTTAAGGTTAAAAATGTTCAATGAAAGCCTCCTCCTCCATTTATGGACCTTACCATAATTGATCCTTTTTACATGCTTGATATTTTTTTTCTACATTGCAACTAAAATAGAATTAAACTTCCATATTAATACAACTGGTCATGTTTATTTTAACCCTGTTTCTCTCATTATGTTTGGCTAGTACTTCAGTAAATGTAAACAAGTAAGATGGAATGTATTGCTCAATGAGTTTGTGTCATTTAATCATTGAATTATATGATATCTTAATTATTGCTGTTTTTTCAGTCAATATGATGATTTAGCAACCTTCGAAGTACAATATTCACCTCGCCGTTCAGGCTCGGTGAATATTGTACTCCTCAGGTGTCTAAATCATTGTATTGACCTCAAAACCAGCAATAATTGTATAATACATGTACATGTATATTATTTTATTTTCATTATTAGTGTAGTACATTACACTGCTGGTTTAGTGTTATCTGTAAGGAATGAGCTATCGGTGTCTACAGATATTATATATATTATTTTGTTTTCAGTCTGAGTGTAGTAACACTGCTGGTCTAGTGTTATCTGTAGATGGTATGAGCTATCAATGTCTACAGACTGGACAGAGAATCCGTGTACGATTTGTGTCCAAGTACTTCCTCCACACTGGATACATAGTGTGTCCACATTGTCCGGATGTTTGTCAGGTGAGCTACATGTGTACTTTATTTATTATTGATGGGGACAGTCTTAAACCTGTAGCTTTATTTCTTCATAAAAGTTAAAAAGAATTGAAACTGTAGCAGAAAAGTTAGTTGAATTACTTTTTCTCTTTTGTTGAGAATTTTCTAGAGAGAAAAAAAATTTTGTTAACTAAACATTGAAGTATTTCATTAAAGGTTTCTTTTTCAAAGTACTTCTGAAAGATATAAATACTTTTTTTTAATTAATCACTCAAAATTTTGAAATCTTTATAAAGTTATTTATTTGATTTATTGCAGGAGAGAGGAATTTTGTGTCCAAAACAAGTAGTGTCCTATGACATTGTCAATAACAATGTACCAGATCTGTACATTCCTTGTAGTGCCAAATCATATCTCCGCCTGTCCAGTATCAATTTCATCATCATCATCATCCTGTTAAATATGTCATGGTTATTTATATCACAGGTGACAATGTAAATATAGGGTAGTACAATCTCCGCTCTTCATGGGTTACCTATCACAATTAAAGATGTGTTTTGGTTGCATTCATGGAATGACATTGAGGCCTTTGATTTGAAATGTTATATTACATTAAGTCTGAAGACAGCTGTAGCCTACATGAGTTCCTCTCATTGTCTTCAAGAAAAATACATATTATGTCAGAATTTGTCCTTCATATGTACACGGAATTTTATTATCATGCCTCTATAGCTATCATCTGCAGATTTTGTGTTCAGTGCACATATGTATTCAGGGATTGTGATCTGATTTACGGACATGTTTTTTTTTTCCATACACTTTGATTTATTCAAATCTTCTTTAAATTAGATAAAAATATCACAGTAAAAAAAAAACCTATAAAGAGACTGTTTATTAAGTTGTCATGGACAAGATGTAGTGTAAATCAAATATAATTTACTTAAATGAATTTTTGTGTAACCCACAATTTACACACACTTCATACAAAATTGCAAAGAGATACTCATAATACTGAAAAAATGAAGAGAAAACTGGAAAAAATTCAGCCGGGAATGTACTGTAAGAGATTTTCCATTAGTTCTTTGCAAACAAATGACAGGTTTGGAAAATCTACCCATTTAGAAGATCAAACATGTTTGTGTGTAGAGTAGAACTATTTCCAATGAATTCTGAGCTCATTTTTTATTTCCTATTATTTAATTGGTACCACCTTTTATCTTAAATTGAAATATGTGTACATCATTTTATATGATTCTACAGTTGTACCTTCCTATTTGGAACATGCAAGTGCAATGGCTCTATTTTATATCCTGCATGTGATTTGTTGACCTTTTTAACATTGTAATAGTTGATATTCACATTTTTACAAACTGAATGTAATGAATGAATTTTGGCTAAGGAGTCCTCAGAGGACCAAACTTCGAAAGTTTATTCAGGATGGCAAGAAGGGTTGATTGAATGTTAATATGATGCTTATATATACATGTAAGAGTTTCAAAAATGCTTTCATTTCTTGAGTTATTTTTTATTTTATAGCTTTATCTATTTTGATATAAAGTGTGTGTAAAACTCAAAAGATTCACTTTTGATTAACACCTTTATATTTGGTGCACAGCATGATGTTATTAAAAGAAATCTGTTTTTGCTCCATTTAGAAACCAAGATATTCAGGACTTCTATTTACCTTTTTCTTGAACTTTTTAAAATCTAATTTGTTAATTTTACAGCTTTTCTACAGCAGTAAAAGTATATAAACTGTACCTTTTAACATGTGTATTGCATGAAGCTATGCTACAAATATATGCAATATAATTCATACAAAGTCATTGTTAGTTAGGATAGAATAAATGTGCAATATGGAACCCCCTCCCCTTTCCGAAAAAAATTATTATTGTTGAAGAAACTATAAACAGTCTCTTTGTCTGGACAAATGTAATGATTTTTAATACCAGTAAAAAAGGATTCTTTTCAGACCGAAGTCTTAAGTGTGCATTTTAGATTAATGATTATTACTTTCTTTGGGAATAATTATTTTTAAGTATATTATGTTGGAATTTTTGTTATTTTCAAATATTTTATTTTGGAATTTTTGATTTTTTAAAAATATTTTAAATTTGATGACGTTGTGACATTTTTACTTTTGATATGCAGATTAATATGTATAATGTGTGATTTTAGTCAAATATTGTGCTGTTGTCGTACATACATGCACTAGTCTTAACTGTGCCAGTACCAATGTTCAAATCTAATGTCAATGAAGGCATTTTACCAATTAGATTTTTCAGTTTTGTTAATATTTGAGGTTCTGTTAAAGATGATAGTATAAGTTATACATACTAGAAGTATACATATGGTTGATTTTATAAAGAGTCTTTTTTTTTCTTCTTTTCTTAAATAAATGTTTAAAATAAAATGTTCCTTAGATCTGTAATTATAGCTTCATATATTTAAAGCTTCTTCATATTGATTTTCCAGAAGAAGTTAAAACTATATTCACAATCAAGATTGTAGATTTATTGTGCCATTCCATTTATTTACCGGAGAAGAGAAAAGGATCTTTTGGCTATTGCATAATAATTTATAAAGAAATTAATTAATGTGTCAATGTCAGAGTTATCTTTCCTGTTAGGCCTACATGTAGTTTATCAGGTATGAAAACATAAAGCCAGTTGTGTATATATGTACACAGATGTTGTTTTATTAGGAAATAAAATCAATAATTATTGAATATTTAGAAAATAAGTATTAAAATGCAGTAAAGGTATGCCTCATGGAATATATTAAACGCAGTTACCATATTAATTGTTTCATTATTTTATTGAGCTTTAGTTATTCTGAATACTAGGAGTGTCAACAAGTGTGATTCTGAAACAGTAAGTAAATTTATACTTGCATGCATTAATAATTTTACAAGTAAATGGACATGTTACTATATATGAAGTTTGTACTTTTGTTAATGAAATAAAGATATTTTTTTTATCTGTTGGTTCTGATTTTTACCCAGTATAGATTTACGGTATTTGATTCTGGGATTGGTTGATCTCTACACCATCTTCCTGTAAATATTATAATGATAAACTGGAGACTCTAAGTAAAATAGAAGTTCAAGACTAAAACTTTTATAAAAGATATAAATAATGTATTCAAACTTTTATATTCTGTAGGTTATTTAATTGTGAAGTAATCAACTTCTCATAAATAATTATTACTGTACATGTCTAATGTACATTATGTGTGTGAATTAATATTCTGGAGGACTGGTGCACTTGATTAAAGAAGGTGCTAAGATGAATTCATTTTAAAACAAAAAAGTCTGCCAAAAGAAAGATTGAGCTAACTCTTCCTAGAATTAATTCAGATACAGGACTGCTTAATTTAAAATCACCTATTTCTAATGGAAAAGTGTAAATACTATTTATTTAATGAAAAAGAAATCTTTTTGACCTAGCTCTCTCTCTCTCTCTCTCTCTAACTCTCAGAAATCTTTAGCATATGAGCTCTTTTTATAATAATTTATATATATATATATAATCTTATTCACTATAAATGGATCTATAATTGTACTAATTGAACAACTTGTGCCATAGTTCCTGTAAGGTTAGACCAAACTAATACCATGAAATACAATGCTTCTTTTAATGCTCACATGAGTAAACTTTGCCCTACCTCCTTAATTCTTTTTTTTTTCCCCTTCTTCATGTAGGTCACCTTCATATCAGAGGCACTTGATTTGGTAATAAATTTTTAACCCATAGTATAATAATAACACAAGGTATCCAGCTCCGAATTACATGGAGTACCCTCATCCCCAGAATCACACTCATTTACACTTTCAGAGAAAATGCGCTGGCAAACTTGTTTATTACCTTTGTCTACTTCCGTTAATAGTTTATCTATACAACCATATATGGCATGCTTGTCTTTATTTTCTTTTATCTCCATTAACAGCGTCAAAACTCTGCTTGCCGAGTGGAAAACTTGAATCACACCATGAAATGGTATACATGTGCTAATCCCGGGCCTGTACCTTTTGCATTTCTATGGATCTATAAGTTGAGTCAGAAAAATCTTCCTCTTACAATCCATTCCAATAACATTATGTTATCCTCCCCTTCAGCCGAGGGGATCAAAATCTCTTATTTTTTGCCCTGACTAAGCAATTTTTAACACGAAGGCTGTGTAAAGGATTTACATTTGCAAATGTTTTCCTTTGTATGACATCTTCCTTTGTATGACACTATTTGAACAAGGCATATTAAGGTCAAGATCTAAAGGTGCCCATAGATTTCTGTTTGTTTATTTCTCTCAGACCATACAATGGTATATGAGGTACATGAACATATTTACATATATACAAAATACAAAGTCAAGTAAGGAAGAGTAGTATGAAATGACAAAGTATTACTGAAAAATGGCCAATATCTTTTTAACAAACAAAGACAGCTTTATCAGTGAGTCAACATTTGTGGTGGACATAAGATTCTCAAAATTATAAACATTTACATGAAAACAATACTTCTTATCAATAAGTTTCATACGAAATGAGGAAAAGTATGGACACTCCATTACATAGTGAAATTCATCACCTAAAGTATTTTTATTACATAAATTACATATTCTTAAAGATCTATCAGTATTAGTCCATCTACCAGCTTCAATTGGAAGTTTGTGGTTACAAATTCTAAATTTTGTCAATATAATTCTTAAATCTTTTGGGAGTTTACTTAGGTACATTTCTCGTCCAAAATTGTTTTTAAAAATCCTGTAATTTAAACATTTAGGTGAATTTTCTATGCTCATATGCCAGTCTTGTAAAAATTGACTTAACAATGTTTCTTTCACAATAGATTTTAACCATGAAATACTAGAAAAATTTTGATTCATCCACACATAAGAGAGACCACATGAATTCAAAATATCTCTTATACATTTCAACCATGGATGCATAAATAAACCTTCAGAAAAGCATTTATGGAGAAAGCAATACATTATATATGTAATCTTACGTTCATGTGACATCAAATTTGAGATACACATTCTTTTAATGATCCTTTACGAATATAGCTTGGTAAAATTAGGTGTATCCAGACATAATTTTAGGATAAACTCATCGGAAAAACTGCCCATTTTCAATGAAAAATGAATAAAGTCTGGTATAAAAATGGGACTTCTCTCCATCTCAGACAAAGGAAATGTATCAATATTGCCTACAGTCTCTCAGAAAACGGTTTTTCATATCTTCTTGATCTCTACTTTAAAATTATATTAAATGGAATAAGAGTATCGGGGTTACATTTGACATGATTTCAAATAGAAATCCATGAAAGCTTGCTTTCTTTTCTTCATAATTCTATTGAAGCTGTAAAGTACGGGAAAAATTAAGTTTAATTCAATTATGACATCATAATGAATCTAGCACCAAGAAGAAAGTCTAAACTCATTTACTAGATCTTGACTTTAAGCCTGTGTATTAACAGGTTTGTCACATGACCATAAATTCATCTTATTAAATTCTCTATGACGTCATAGGTGGTCGATGTGTTCAACATGCACATTTAATCTATACTGCTGATATGTAAAAAATAATTCATTTCATGGGTTTAAAACTAAAGTACGCAAATATTTGCTATTAATTAGTCACAAAAGAAGTAATAATTAAGGTATCATTTTAAAACTTTTATCGGGATGTAAATACATTAATTAATATGATACCTTAATTATTTCTTATGTAAATCTTTGATCTCTTCCATTGCCCATACAGCATACCTTTGGGGCCATGATTTGAACAAACTTCAGTCTGTCAATTTGTTGCTATTTTTGGAATTATCTCCACTTGAAAGAGTGTGGCCCTTTAATTAAGTAGATTTGAATCCCCTTCACCCAAGGATTCTTTATGGCTACCAAGTGTGGTTGAAATTGGCCCAGTGATTCTGGAGAAAAAAATGACAACGTGATAAGTTTACAATAAAGGCCAACAATGACATTATACATCGGACAAAGAACAAGTGCACTTATGGGCCCGGGTAAAATGTGAAAAAATGAAGATTCAAATTAAGCATAATTTTTCATCTCAGATCATTAATTGATATCTAAACCATATATAAGATTCAACAAATTTTATCGCCGAAATTCATGAATATACAAAGAGCAAAACCATACAATGTGGTAGGGGTCAGCCGACATTCGTGATTTTCTGTAGTAAATCGAGGACGGTCAATCATTTCAAAGCTTTTGTTTACTGTCAGCCTAACGTTGTACAAACTTGTGCGAATGACAAAAAGCGCATTATACATTTATAAAACTTGTGTGAAAGTAGGAAATTTGTACAAGATTAGGCTTGTACTTAAAACATTAAAAATGTATGAAAAGTTGAATGTTTTTCCTATAGCAAGTGACAGCTATTTACCTGTATGACCTATGTTGAACCCACCCGTGGAATAAATTATTTAAAATACCGGTAGCCACGTGAGTTCTACCCGGGTAAACATTCCTCAAAGGTGCTCACTGTAAAAGATAGCTACGTTTTGTATCAGGCTCTAAATTCGCTCTTGAGTACATCTTGACCTATGATTTTAACAAGAGGAATATAAAATAAATTATTTAAAAAATTGAAATAAGAAATGTTTTATATTGAAAAGTATATTGCAAATATATAAAAAAGATAAAATGAGCAGATTTTTTCATCAACTTACTTTTTTTTTCTTGAAATGAATTTGATAATTCCACTAGAATTACGCATGTGTAGGGGGACATTTTCAACCATGTCAAAATAAAAGTCAAATATACGGCGATAATACCTTGTACACAGAATATCTTCATTCACTACTGTTTAAGAAGGATAAAATTAACATACAAAAGTATTTTAATGCACATTATGTCTAAAATAAAAGAAAAATTGGAATTTATTTCTTCTCATATTTTGAACGTAACGTCTGTCAGACTCAATACACCGGGTACATTGTTATAAAATGGGCCATTGTTTATGCAAACTATTTTATCTTTCTTGTCTACTGATAGAAAATTTACCTGTTTATCAATTAAGTGATCGCAGATTCAACAGAAAAGCACGTGTGCTTAGAAATTAACAAATCTGTGGGATGCTTCCTGTGTCTGTCATGGCAAGTGGGCGTTACGTTCTATTTTAAGAATGGAGCTCGGAGATGCTTCTTCTTATACATTTGACTTAAAGGTTATGAATATTTAAATTTTCTCCAGTGTTCTATGCAAATGTGTTTACATTTCGAAAAGAAGAGCTACAGAGAGAGCCCGAGAAGCCACGAACGTTTGTCTGTCAAGTGTTACGTTACACGAAGTATGTTACGTTCATGAAAATATAAGTTGTCTTTACCCTAGATTTTAAACACATATCATCAAATATTGTCAGCTAGTAGGTGTATTTTGGATTTAAAAAAAAAAATGAACTTGCACGCTCTTCATCACTACATAAACACTTAAAATTTGACATTTCTTACATAACGTACCGATTGACAGACATTACCTGAATACTATCGTAACGATGACGGACAAAACGAATGTCTGTTCATGTTACGTGAATCAAACGGGTGCATTCAGATTTATACGTTCAATGAATTAAACCAAAAAGTATTTTTATTTAAGAATATTAGTGTATTACAAGGCAAAATTTGTCTTTATAACTTAAACAATACAATTTTGTAGTTGTTTTCTCGCAGTTTTTAAAATGAGTCTGTCAGGGTTACGTGCATCCGTACATGTTACGATATAGGTTTGATCTATATGCAATAATTTATTTTTTAAAATTTCATTAGTATTTTCATAAATAATAATGTCTGGTGTATTATAATTTCCAAGAATAAAAGATAAACTTTGAATGATAAATTTTATTGGCTCGTTTCAAACAGATATTGCTCAAGAAATATCGTAACATGACAGACATGGTGGAAATTTTGTATGTTACAAAGCGTATAGCAGAGATTTATTTTTTAAAAATTCAAATTTAAAATCTATAAGGAATCAAAATTTGAATAATGTCCATTTCTTACGGCAACATTATCTTTTTGATAAAATAATGAAAGTTTATGGTTTATTTGGCTGGCTAAGTAAAGGAGTCTGTCAGTGTTACGATCATCAGTTTGTGCATCAAATGTAGCTTAAAAATCTTTTTTCTTCTAAATAAGAGTGAAAAAAAATGTTTGCATTGTTAAAGGAATTGTTTAATTTTATTTTTTACAGATTATTTGTATTGCTAAGCATCAGAAATGTAATTTAATCACGTCACGTTTTATCATACGTCTGTCATGTTACGTTATATGTCTGTCATGTGTTACGTGACACATATTTCAAACATTAATAAAATATTTATTTTTGACTTGATTATCTATTCAAACTTTTTTTTGTCCTATTTAGAGTCAAAACTTCAAATACACATAAAGAAATCTAAGGAAAAAAAGGTGTCTACAGAATTCTTTATTTGTCCTCCAAGATGTACTCAAGAGCGAATTTAGAGCCATCATTATATAAGTCGTAAGTTTGTATGTATTTGGTTTTAAGAACACGGGAGGGTTAGGAGAGTTTAGTGTCGTTAAAATGTCATGATCATACATAAAAGTGTCAAACATTTTTAACATTCATGCAAGAATGGTATCGGTATTGAAAGCCACCTAAATACACTTTTTTCATTTTAAAATTTAAAGGAACAAATGGTAATACTTATTCTGTTATTTCAAATGCAAGCGTGCAAAGTTCTTAGTTTGATCACTCTGGCTACAGGCATCTATACAACTTCATTTTTTCTCAGGTAAAAAAAAGCTCAAGAAGTATCATTCGGCAAACGCGCCCGTCAATGATCCACCATCAGATTGTTCAAGTGTCCGATTTAAATGTCTCCTCCCCTTGATTTAAATAAATGAAACTCAAAATAGGATCGGTACGACTTTTCCGGATTTGGGGTAGTTATAGGCTTAAAAAATCTTCATTTGTTTCAAATCCATGCTGATTTAGATGATGTTTTAACGTGATTTTAATTAGAAATATCCACTTGTGTTTAACTATTACCAAAAAAGAACAATTTGGTAATATATTCTAAAGTAAAACGTCACTGAAAAAGGGCCCATGAAGCATTGCTTAAATGCACTTGTCCTTTTGATCAGAAAATTCTGCTCAGGTGAGCTAAATAGTTACCCTTTTAGGCTTCCATATCTTCTCTTTTTTGCGCCATTCTACTTTCACTTTCATATTTGTGTTCGCTGAATGAGCTTATATGATATAAATACGCTAAATATATAACATTAAGTAAACAGAATTGAAAAAAAAATGACTAAAAAATAAACATAAAATTTAGAACACATAGATATAATAATTTAACACGTAAGTATATTGTACTTTGTCATTTGTTAATCTATTTTCAGTACGCATGATAAGCGTTGTAGCAAAACATTCTGTATATGTTTTAAACGTGCTTTTAGAGTTAATGTTTGTGGGTACATGAAAGTGTATTTCTTGTAATTTTCTTTTTCAACAAGGTCTAACAGCTACCTAAAGTCAGTTAACATACAAGCAAACAAAACTATATGCTTGTATTCGAGACTCTAAGGTATTGTGAGGATTTTTTGCTCTAGTACGTATCTTAATATTAGGCCTAATTTCCTACATGTTGTTTACGTTTCTACACTTTTTTCAAATCACAGCCCAGGTTGATAATCAGGGTTTTTCAGATCAGTTTTTATAAATTGCAAGAAGCTAAAAATAATTCTAATCAGTATAGGAGTTCTTGGAAAATAAAATAGAAAGTAGGTAATATATATAAATAAAGCTTCATAATTCATATCAATAAAATACAGGTATGGAAGTTTATGTCCACGTAAGTACTGACTGCTGATTTTGTTGAAATTAATATAATTAAATCATAAGCTTATAAAAATGGTAAACTGATATGAACACAACCAATATGACTGTGTTTCTGTTTAAGTATTGATGTTTTTTCCTGTTAGTTGACAGAAAACATATGACATTTAACTTCCTGGTTGTAAAATACTACTGTAAGGACAATTACGAGAAAGATTTATCATATTGGTGAACACAACTTTGATTCCGTAACACTTATTAGAAATGCATCAACATATAATTACTGATTTATTAACCAGTGTTAGGTATTTCAGACATATTCAAGGGATTGATTTAAAAAATGGAATAACACAACAATATATTAGTAATTTTCACTTAATTCATTCATTTGATATTTACTTGTTCTGGATATAAAGTTAAGATTAAGTTGTAAAGAAAATCAATTTGCATTTTTGTTGAATATATTGTAGAAGGTGAAAAATGGCTGAAAATAAGTTCACCAAAAGGAGACAGAAACTAAAGCAGAATTTGTACAAGTTACTAAAGGAGAGGGAACCTGATGGCATTCCAAAAGCACATCTATGGAACATTTATAGCAGCAAGGTTGAGAAGATCAGTGCTGCGTTTTATGGCACAGGGAAAATGCACAACCTTCTGGCAGATTTTGGTGACATGATCTATGAAGTGATGGAGAAAGGACGTCCCACGATTCGTCTTATTGAGGGGTATATTCCAGCTGGAGAAGATCCACCAGATGTACAGATAGATAAAATATCATCATCAGAGTCTGAAGAAAATCATACACAAGCAAAAGAAGTGAAAAAAACAATGAAAACTACAGAAAGTACAAGCAGTGGAGGCAGGTCAACTGATGAAGTGAGTAATAATCTTTCTTATACATGTATATTTATTTAAGGAATGTTTTTAAGTTTTGTGTGAGTTATTGGTGTGTAAATCACACAGACTTGCACGTAGGCATATTTTTCATGAAGCGCTAGCGCGCTTCATGAAATATGCCTACGTGACAAGTCTGTGTGATTTACACACCAATAATTCACACTAAACTTAAAAAACATTCCTTATATTTACATTTTACAAGTTTAAAAGCACCAATAATATACTCAATGTTTGAATTTCTTGCTGTCCTATATCGTTACATTTTTATTAACGTCTCTGTAGCCTCATTGTGACGTCACTTTAGGGCGAGTTTCACTGTGTATATTTCTACGCGTGAGTATACACAAAAATGACTTTCAAATCAATTTCACAGTTGGCTTAGTAGAAGAACAGAGCAAATGTAAATATTGATATTTGAACTTCACTATCTTAAAATACCAGGGACATGTCCAAGTCTATGGTTCCAACTGCCTTTTGATTCAAGTTTTAAATTTATAGTGGTCAGGCAGGTTCGTGGCAGATATATATTCAGGTCAATGGAATAAAAGAAATTACATGTACTACTTTTAAGAATTTAATAAGGTGATTCAATGCAAGTGTCTGCTTAAAAGAGAAGATAATCTTTATCTTTTTTATTGGATTTAGGCACTGTACAGTAGATCACAACCTGCCAGTAGTCCTTCAGTAACACCAAGTGTTCAGCAATTATCTCTCCCGTTACCCACTCCAAGCTTAGCCTACTCAATTGGACAACCACTTATAGCCCAAGCAAGTATCCCAATCATACAACCTACACAACAGCTAAGGGCAGGACCTTCTTTGATGCCACAACCGCTGATGATGGGAGGCATTGCAAGGCCACAACTTAACACATTACAGACAAATATCTCAGCTGCTGTTGGCCAGTTTTTGACCCAGGCAAAACAGTCCAGTTTTGCAGTGGGCAGGAATCCTGAAGAACCCTGTGTAGTGTCCTCCAGCAGTGAATCAGAGAGTGAATCAGAAAGTGAAGAATCTGAGGACTCTAGCATTCAAGCTTCAACAGTCAAAATGGAAAAAGATGAACATAAAACCAAAATAGAGCAGACACGTTCAATGGTTAAGAAAAATATTGTGAGCTTGTTGACTCATCATCCAAAGGGCATCAAAAAGAGTGAAATCTGGCGATACTATCATCAGGAATTCAAACAACAGCCAAACAAGGTACAAGTGGGACTTTCACAGCTAACCAAGGTTTTAGACCTGTTCACTGATGTAATCGAAGAAGTTCAAGATAATAATGGAATTCCCTATATTCGACTTATTAAAAAAGCACCAAGTGGGAGGAGTCAACTGACCCCTGGGTCATCAGGAAGTAGCACCCCAGTGATAGATCTAACAAAGGATGAACCATCCTCAACTCGGGGTAGCCTTGTGGATTTGACTAGGGACCAGAGTTCTTCTGGTTTTATCCCTCTTTTACCCTCTCACCCTACACCAAGAATAAGAGGCCACCCTGGAGACTTTCAGATGCAGTCTGCTTACTCTCAACTCCAGCAAACACCAGCATTTGTTCTGCCTAGTGCCCCATCACAGGATTCTTCCTTGGCAGTTTGCCAACTGGTGATCAGACCAATTAGTCTTCGGAAATTTGAAGAAAAGGAAACCCATCTACCAAGGGTGTGGAATAATGACAGGTATGGTCGTTTCAGTAAGGACCAAATTGAAAATGTTGCCAAGGAGTGCATTGAGGCCCTTGCTGAAGCAGAAGAGCATGTCAGTGTGGAAAGGGTGGAAAGTTTGATGTTACAAAGACTTGGTAGAAGAACCATTGGGGAGCTGGGTCACTGGCGTTATGCCAACCAGATACCCTGTCTATTTGAACATAACAGGATGCTCTGCAAGATTAATGCATACATACAAGCCTTTCTGAACACACGATCCATATGCACACTTCATGAACTGAAGATGTGCATGGCTGAATTTGCTCCAGATAAGGACAGCTTTGCTGCTTTACAAGTTGGTCCCCTCCAAAGACTGCCAATCATTTATAACAACTTCAAGTTTCCTACAGATATGGCTGATATTCCGGAAATTACTACCTCTGATATTTTTGAGAATCTACGGAACTACTTGAATAAATATCAGAGATGGAACACCAAGCTTGAGTTGGAACACTTCATGGAGTACTTGGTGGAGACGTATAGAGTGGAGAATGCTTACATCCTTGGAGTCCGAATTCGCAGCTTACCTCTAGCCATGCAGGTAAATTTTTCTTGGCATGTGGCTATACCAGTTTGTAAGGGGATATTGCATATCAAATGGGAAACAAAAAAGTTTTTAAAGATGGTAATGAACTGACTGAATTACTTTTCTAAATAATAATAAAAAAAAAAATGTATCTAAGATGGCTCACTTCAATGTTTGAAATCCCCTGCACATGTACATTAATACATGTATATTACTAAATAGAATGTCACAGGTTTTATTGCTTCCATCTAGTTGACATCTCTGTTGTAACAACATTTAATTTTATTGGCAGGTCTTAAAGAAATCTCAGAGAGATGCTGCTGGGACTCGAAGAAAAGTCACAGAGGATACAAAGGAAACTCTGAAACAAGAGATAGAGCAAGTGTTCCACAGATTCAGGGCAGTCCTCATGAACAAAAGAGATGGACAAGGACAGGTAATTTCTTTCCATTATTATTTTATTATTCAAAGTTATTCATTTTCCTAGAATGTTCCATGTCATGACCATTGTCATTTACACAGAGATGAAGGTTTATTTGACATGTTTTTCAATGAAACATGAAAGAGACATGACTCTGAATTTGGTTTCTTGGCTTTACAGAATAGAATTTCTGTGACATCTGTTGAATTTTTTTAAATCTGTATACCATGTACCATACTGTTACAGTAATGATTAGTATTGCTAACTAACTTTAAGAAGATTATTTTAAGTGATGAGCTTTTGTTCTCTATGATAGATTAGGGAGCACTACCTTAAGATCCGGCCCACTGAGGCCCTGAAGGAGATCTTTGATAAATATCGAACCTTGTGTAGCTCAGTGGAGGCCCCTGCAAACAAAGCGGAGAAACGAACCTTCACCAGGTTTACAGAGGCCATTAATGCTTTCCTTCAAGCAGTCACTACAGATAGTTTTGGTCGGAATCTCTTTCACATAGCAATCTGTATCAGTCGCACTGAGGTGGAGACAATACACAGACAGTTTCTGACTGAGGCAACCACCAAACCAAAGGAGGTGCCTGTTACTGTGAAAAAGAAACCCCCTCCAACGAAAGGTAAGGAATGCTTCTGACTGGGCCCAATAAAAAATGATATAGATTGAAGTATATAGATACTTCCAATAATATGAATAATCTCATAATGTGTTCTAGGGGAAAGATGATGATGTGAGTTGATTTTTTTCTTGTTTTGTCTAGAGTCCATCATTAAACTTCTAAAGACTTTCCTTGACAAATGTCAGAACCATGGAGCACTTACATTAAAACATCTGGACCACATCGAGGAAAGAATTACAGATCATTTTGAATTTGAATCATTTCTGGCAATGGGATATGGTCGATTCCTGGAATTTCTCATACAAGAGACCAAACAAGTAAAACACTTTTATCATGCATTTATTATTATTACATGCAATGCTGGATTTATGATATAAAAAAATAATACTTTTTGTTGTGACAAGTACATGTACCAAAATAAATTTATATCAGTACTTTAATTACTTTTATAAATTTTTGACACTTTAAAGGAACTAGATGACTGTGGAGGCACCAGTTTAGGGACAGGGGGAGGACATGGTGATGTTGCAGGGGGATATCTCCCTTCCCTCACTCACATTCTTGAGTTCATCCACCAGTGCAAACAGAGTAACACCTCACAGGTACCTAGAGAATAAAATTTATTTAAAAAATCTACATGGAAGGAATAAAAATATCTCAGTATGCTTTGTGTGCCCATCTAGCAATCAAACATATGTACAAAGTGTACATGGTATATCATTGAATAGCGAAGTAGTTGCAGTATCTCAATTCTTAATATTTTTATGCCTTTGAAAAATAGGTAAAGGACCTTTTGTAGTAGGACTTTTTATTTATATGTCGATGTATTACAAATGTGACCTAGGTCATAATATTAGATAGAGACTTCTTTTGTGACCACATTTAGAGGTTAAGGTCAGAGGTAAAGGTCAAAGGTACAAACACTAATACTTCAAAAAAGTGCTGTTCAAAGAAACAACATTGAGTTTCTATATACATATTTCTGTATTATATTGATGTCTATATACGAGGGGCATTTCAAAAGTTCTGGCAACTGGTGTGCGGTAAATTAATGAGCGTCATTATCATAAATTAAATTATATCAATCCCTCAAAATAGTCTCCGTTGACCTGGACACACTTTTTCAGTCTTGAAATCCACGTGGAAAGTGCTGCCCTATAGTCCTCTTTCGGTATACGCTTCATACACTGGAATACGGCACTTCCGACTGCATGACGACTTTCAAATTGCCGTCCTCGGAGGGCTTCTTTGATAACGGCATTCAACCAAAAATTGCATGGAGCTAGGTCAGGACTATAGGGTGGATGTGGTAAAACGGCAATACCATTTTCCTTTAAATATTTGGTTACTACCTCTTATCTATGGGCAGGTGCGTTGTCATGGAGGAGCTTAATTCCTCTAGTACTGGTTGTTGGTCGGGTCGTTTTATAGTGCTCTACAACCTGAGACAAGACATTCTCTGCATAAAATTGACCAGTAACACTGCTGAGTTCTGGAACCAGAACTTGAGCAACAGGGCCTTTAGAATAAAAAATAATAAGGCATACATTACTCTCCAGACAGACCGGTTTCTGCGTGTAATTTGAGGCTTTGTATCATTTTCACCGATCCAAACTTTATTATTGAGCTTAGTTTCCGCTTCAAAAAAATATATCCATGTTTCATCACCGGTTAAAATCTCATTTATTCGCCTTTGGTCACAGTCTTCATAAATTGTTAGTAACAGTGAAGCCATTTCTACCTGGATGCACTTTTGCTCTTCCGAGAGAAGATGCGGCACCCATCTAGCACAGACTTTCCTAAGCTTTAAGTTTTCCTTTAAAATACGAAAAACTGCTGACGAATTAATGTTAGTTAAGTCTGCTATTTCCTCAACTGTATATCTAGCATCATCAGCTATCGTATTTTGAACAGCGACGATTTCTTTTTCGCCATATGCACAAACTGGACGCCCCACGGGGGTCATCTTCAATTGATTTTCTACCCTCTTTAAATTGAACTATACCCATCTTGCTATTGCTCGATATGAAAGAGCATGCTCTCTATATACTACATCTAAATCGGCTTATATTTCTGTTGCCGTAAAGCCAAGCAATGAGCAAATTTTGCAATACGCTCTTTGCTCAACAAAAAATTGTTCTCCTTATCAGTCATTTTTATGCCCAGTATACAGAGTATACCTAATTATGACATCATTTTAGCAGACCTATACGTCATTTTGAATGTAAAATGACGTCACTACTAATGCATATTTGCCTAAGCTTTACAGTGGTATCAGAGTCATTTTAATCCGTAACGTAGTTAAAATTGTATATACCAGTTGCCAGAACTTTTGAAATGCCCCTTGTATGTGAACACTTCTTGGCATAAACATGAATATGTGATTATTGTATCGCATTACACTGTATATGTACAATAAATAACGAGGTCGATCTAGTTTAAAAACAGAGTTATTATGGTTCTTTTTAGGAGGAAAAGATTCAGCAAGCATTATGTCACCAGTTCTCTGTGAAGGAGGTCAAACAACTGGGACATGGGACGTCATCACGTTTGATTGGTTTAGCTGATAGGCCAGGGAAACATGTGTCCAATCAACACTGTGTTGTGTATGAGGCTGCTGTTATTCCACCAGAAAGGTAACTTGCTTTCATGTAGAAATTTTTGAGATTACCACTGCATTATACAAACTTGATTAGGATATTGTTTAATAAAATACAGTATGATATTACTTAATAAAAAAATATTTTTTCCAGAAATCTAAGATTTTGGATATAACATACAAAACTCTATATTGCATCATTGTATTTTTTGCATTTTCCTTATGTGTAGTTTTGAGGTGAAAGGTCAGACTGGAATTTTAGGACACCAGACAAAGGAAGCAGCCCTTGCCTGTTTGAATAATTGTCCTCTATTGGAAAACATGGCTGATTGGAGTCAGTGGTCTCTTGTGTTTGAACCACAGCTAGGGAAGTTAAGGGACTTTATTCAAAAGTATGGAGAATGCCAATCTTGGCCAGTAGAGGGTATGTAAATATACCAAATATTAAATGCAGGGACTGGTTACATTCAATACTTATAGAAAAATGTACATAATAGATTACAAAAAGATGTCCTTTCACTCGTGAATAAGTTTAAATTTAATCCAAAATGATCGAACGAAATTGTTCTGTATTTTCAGGTGGATCCAAGATCATGAACACAGATTTTATAGCATTGGAGAGCTCCCCTGGTCAATACCTGAAGCTTTTAAGTAGCTCTTCCCCAGAAAAATTTTGTGTGGCCCTCCATAACAGAATAGCTCGTGATGTAAGTGGACACCTCATGTCAATGGTGATCCAGAATAAAGGTGTTGAGAACACCCCTGTAGCTCTGCTTGCTAATCATGTGAGGGAGGAACTGTTCAAAATGCATGGGGAAGCCTCAAAAGACAATGTGCCAGGTATGGCAGAATTATGATTGTTTTATTGTCATGGAGTAATTTGAAATGCTTGTGAGTTGATTTAAATCTGATTCTATCTTTTAGGGGCACCATCTAGTTGCCAGCCTGCAGAAACTGCTGTACACTTTGTTCTGGACTGTTTGTCAATTTTACCTGTCAAAACCTGCTCTGTTTTGGCTTCACAGGTACTAGCTGCACTATTATTGTCTGGAACTTGATAACTTTGCTTCAAGTTACACACATTATAAAAATATGAAAATATAATCATACCCCCCGCAAACGAAGTTTAGGGGGGGTATATTGGAATCACCATGTCCGTCTGTCTGTAGACAAGATTTTGTCCAGAGAGTTTCTTGAAAACTGTTGCATAGAATTGTCTGAAAATTTGTACACTTATTATTCACCATATGAAGGTGTGCACCTGGTATTTTCATCATGATTGAATAATTTTCTGCATTTTACAGGTGTTTTTTTCATTTTTATTATGTGGTTTTGTCCTGACCTTTTCTCAAAGACTATTTCATAGAATTGTTTGAAAATTTGTACACTCATTATTTACCATATGAAGATGTGCACCTGGTATTTTCAACATTATTTGATAATTTTTCTGCATTTTACAGTTGTTTTTTTTTTTCATTTTTATTGACTTAGTCATTTTGGGTTTATTTCTAAGGTTTGAGACATAGAATCTAGAATATCTGTACAAAAATGTGAACTACAGCTTAAAACTATTCATTAAAACAAAAAAGAAATCATCAAGTCATTAAAAACAATTTTTACATTATACAGCAGATAGTGTAAATCCATTTGTCCCTTGGGAGTAATGAGTGGACATCATCCAGTTAAAGATTAATTAATGAGTTCAGTGCAGGAAGTTGTTGGGGCATCTCTGATCAAGCATGTGTTATCTATATCTCCTGGGAATTTAAAGATATCTGTTCTTTAATTCTCTTAATTGTAATTTATTGTCTGTCAGTACATAGTTACTGGATGACCAGCCTTTTATTTTTAAAATGAATTTGATATAAAGTTATCAAGATTAATTTGATTTTGTAATTAATTGATTTTTTTTCAACAATCAATTTGCAGAGTGTCATGTCTCAAAAAGATGACAGATGACAGATAGTTGCAATTTATTTTTTCAGTGTATTAAAAAAACAATGTAATTACAATGTATTGGTATTGATGTTTTATTCGGTTGTTCCTTGGTTTCATTCATTAAAAAATATAATTAGTTTTTCACTCTAAATGTTTATAAGAAAATTGTGAACACCTCTTAGATCCATAAAATGTTAGTGATTTGGCACCTCTGAAAAACCCAGCGGGGGGTATTTGTCCCTTTTGGACAGTTCTAGTTTGAAATGGTCAAAATATCGACAATTTTCTTTTGGTTTATTTACATGTAAGACTAGATAATAAATCAAAAAAAAATAAGTGAAGCTTCGGACTTTCTTTTTATTTTTCAGATGTTCCTGGACCCACTTGGTCAGGTGATAGGACAATCAAAATCAAAGACCATGCTCCTCCAGTCATGTGTGACCTTGACCCAGTTAAGCCGCCTCCAGCAGCTGGGCTGTCTCCTTGGCGTGGCTGAGTGGATGGACAGTATTCAGGTTCGCTGTCAACCAATGCCCTCTTCTCTACAAGAGGTGGCCCCAGAGGTTGCCGAAGAGTTCTTCAAGGATGAGCCTGAGGTGAGAAAGAGAAGAGTTTGCAGACCTTAGTCAAATTCATTTGTCAATTGCCAAGGTATGCTTTTACAAGCTTTTTTCTTGCAGATTATTGAAGATAGTGAAGGTGAGGAAGACTCTTCTTCCACATCCTACTTGTCAGATGTGGAGTTGGAGACTGAGGTCAAAGTTCAGGAGGAAGAGGAGATGATTGTGGTGGATGAGTGCACAGAGATTGAAGATGATGTTAAAGAAGATGCACAAATGAACGAGGCCAGCATTGGTACATGTTCATCTGATTAGATTTTTAGGCAGATACAGAATTGAATTTTTAGTTCACCAGAGATGAAGGCTTAACTGAGTTATTTTGATCAAAGTTTGTCTGGCATTTATCTTTCCAGCTGTCTGTAAACTTTTCACAGTTTCTACTTGTTCAGTGCAAGGCATATACTGCCATGTTACTCATTTGAACCTTGTGATTTTAGCCTAATAAGATTATATTGCAGTTTTAGGTCAATGGGTCTTTTGCATACTCACAAATGAATGTTTTCAATGTTTATACATTATCATTTATAGAAATCCAGTTTATATTTTAGGGTAATCATAAATTAGACAAAAGTGTATCAAATGTGACCAAATATGAAAACAGAATATTCTGAAAAGAAAATTAACAATAAAATATAAAGTGTGAATGATGAAAATCTAAATGGTAGTGATGTATCCCTGATAAATAAGAATATATACATATATCTTTAACTATTTTCAGATCTAACTGTTAAGTCTGAGGACACAGTCATTGATCTTCTGTCTCCAGACAACAACATGGAGGAGGCAGCATCTACAGTAACCGTGGAGACTGATGTAGAGCAGACGTGTCAGGGTATTGTCAATCAGATTAGGAGGGAGGAGTTTGGGATTGGGGTGGAGCTAAATGAAGATGGACAGAAATTGATGAGAGTTCAACAAGAGAGACTGGGACGAAGTCTGGACAGGTTGTCTAAAGATCTCTACAGCAAGGACACCCACTTTGTACTTGGTGAGGAGAGAAAAGAGTTGCTACAAGCAGAGCTTAGTATTACAGAGTTTAGAGAAATTTTACATGCAGCCATTACTCTTGCAGAAAAAATTTGAAATCTTTAATATTACAGTGTAATTTGACATCTTTTTATTACATTCTTTTGAGATTGGAACTAGAATTTGTTACATGTTCATTTTTGGAAGGATGGGATTAATATTATGGATAAATATTTCAAAGTTGGCAAGCATAATGAATTTGTAATTTCTCATAGAACTGATACAGAATGCTGATGACAACAGTTACCCTGAGGACCTACAGAAAAACACTTGTCCATCTGTGCAGTTCATAATGAGACCAGATGGAGTGGTGATTTTAAACAATGAGACAGGTTTCCAGGAGAAGAACATTCGTGCCCTTTGTGATGTGGGAAGGAGTACCAAGGGCAAGCACAAGGCTGGGTATATAGGTAGGTTTATAGATAAAAGAAACAGGAATTAATGAAATTTGTAAATTGTGTACTAGTATGTATGACACAGTTTCTGGAGTTGGTTTTACATTGATAACTGTAGGTCAGAAGGGAATTGGATTCAAGTCAGTATTCCGGGTGACAGATGAACCAGAAGTCCACTCAAATGGATTTCACATCAAATTTGATGTTCAGTCTGGGCCAACAGGCTATATCCTCCCACACTGGGTGGAAGAAGACAAATGGGAAGAGGGGGAGGGGTAAGCATTGTCATATCTTGTTAGAAGTTCAAAAAATTCCAATCTCAAATTTCCACACAACTTTGTGTGATTTTTATGGAAGGTATATGGTGTTTCTCTTGTAGTTGGATGACAAAAATAGTTTTACCAATAAAAGATTCAATGAAATCTCAAATGCGAACCTTGGCAGCCAGATTTCATGATATCCATCCTTCCTTGCTGCTGTTCTTGAATCGCCTGAGACAGATCACAATTGAGAATCGAGTAGAAGATGTTATCCAGGAGATAAGAAGGAGAGACCTTGGGGATAATGTAGTGGAGATAGTGGAAAACAGCAAAGTGGATAGGTGGCTTGTGGTCAAGAAACGACTGGATGCGTCCACAATATCATTGCAGGTCAATGAATGAAATAACTACAATCAAAAGAAATTAAAAGGATCATATCTATATACAGTTTACTTACAAACCATTTTATTCTTTCAATTATTCTTGCCATTGATTGATAAAATGTTTATTAATAAAACCATCATCTTTACTTCTCTTTATTTCTGTTCAAGTATATTTATTGTATTTGAATATTTGTATTTGGAGTAAAAATATATTGTCTTACAGGCCAAATCAGGGGTAGAGGTGGAATCTACAGAAATCGCCCTGGCTTTTCCGCTCCGACCAGCAGGACAAAAGAAAGACAGCAAAGTACCATCTCCATGTTATATATGCCATTTGCTTAAACCAGTATTTTTGCTTATTTCACCATAAAATTAGAATTAAAGAATACCAAAAAAAGACATAACCACTAATAGTCCTTTGATTTATTGTTAGTTTGTTCCACCGAAGCAGCCAGTGTTTGCTTTTCTACCTCTGAGAAGTTATGGATTCCGTTTCATCATCCAGGGTATAACTTAGCAGAATTTTTTACCTCTCAGTAATACCTTTAATGAATGTTCTTCAGAGTTCACATATCTTTATTTTTGTTAAAGGTGACTTTGACGTTCCGTCCAGTCGTGAGGATGTGGACCGAGACAGTTCCTGGAACCAATGGCTTCGTAACGAGCTCCATGTCCTTTTTATAGAAGCTTTGGAAGCATTCAAAGTATGACGTACTCTGTAAAGGGAAGTCTTCACCCAATTTTATATTCTCCCCTTTCATCTCATTACAAGTGAACAAATAAACATCGGAAATAGAACAACTTCAAACATGTATATTTCTGTAACATAACATGTGTGGGAGAATTTAAAATGGGGCAAAATCATTTGCAAGTGTGATAAGGCAAAATGATAAGGGGATGAAACAACCCTGTCTACAGTATACAACAATGCAAATTGATTGACATCTTTAAAGCTATCACCTTTGTACTCGCATATTTTCAGCCTTTTTGAATATTTTACAGAACCATGCTGACTTCTCAAACGTGGAGGCTGTAACTTCCTTCCTACAGTTTGTCCCTGTGGAGGATGAAATCATAGATTTCTTCAGACCTGTAGCCAATCAGATTCTTCAGAAACTCCGGGCCAAACAGTGTGTCCCCACTCAACCCAACAGCAAGGGTAACATATTTATTGCAATGGCCTTAATGATCAATCTTTCAAAATTAAGCCTTTGGTAAATTAGATGGCTCACAAGTTTCTCCTGCTAATGTACATTTATGTGTTGAAGGCATGTAAAGGACATAAATTTGAAAAAAAAAATGAGGATAATAATACAAATATCTTTACATTACCAGGCAAATGTTCATGGAAGATTCCATCACAGACTGTGACTGTAAAAGACCCTCTAGTCCTAGAGGTCGTGACACCTGACCTTTTGAAGGACACTCTTAATTTGTTTTACCTCCATCGAGATGTGGCAGCCATGTTAAATTCTTCCCTGACCCTGAGTCTGGGTATAGAGTCTTTGAACACTGAACACCTGCTTCTGATAGGGAAATCATTGCTACAGCAGTGGTCAGCCAGCCAGGAAACTACTGACACAGGTATAGACCAAACATATATATTAACTACAGCTTAAAGGTCCTGTTGTGATAGGAACAACAGATGCATGGGTTTTAATTAGTGTTGTCAAATTAGACAATTTTTAGTAATCGGTTACTCGCTTACTTTTCCGATCGAGTAACCAGTTACTCAGATGGTTTTTCTTTAGACATCAGAACATTCTTGTTCGTGGTATATATACTCGGCTGTAATTATTTATATATATTGTATGTACTGTCATTATAATTTCTAAATATGTCTTATTTGTATATTGGTATATATAAAACACAAATGCACTGCACATGAACTTTATTTATAATTACAAACACACAATATGTGCTAAATAAATTTGTTCTTGAACACCCTGTAATCGTTGGCTGTTTTGCGCTCTATGTATCGCTGGTTTCACAGTCATACTTCACTCTGCGGTGGTTAAGCATAATAGTTCTCCCACCCATGTATGCAAATTCCATTTCACATAATTTACACCAAACGGATTTCAATTCTTTTAAAAATGTCCATGCTTTCGATGCATGTGGCGGCATCTTCTTTAATCTTGTACTGCACAGGCCCATATGAAGCAATTTCACTTTGAGGGGGCACAAACATATATTTTCAGTTGAGTTGGGAGGGGGACAAGCAAAAAAAAAAAAGGTCATCAGACATTATTTTGAGGGGCCACAAGCATATAGTAGCTATGTTTTGTATAGTATTCTATATATCGGCAAAATTATTGGCGGGGCACGGTGCCCCGTGCCCCCCCCCCCCCCCCCCCCCCCCCCCCCCCCCCCCCCCGGTTCCTATGGCCATGCTGCGGACTAGCAAAGGTTTATGTGAGGTAATTATAATTACAGACCTGTTTACTCTTACGTTTTCGCTGTATTATGTGCTGGTTTTGAGTCCAAAATATGTCTCAAGTTTTGCAATATAAAAATACGGAAATCAGTTTGTTTGGATTTTCACATTTAGTTTTCGAAATGATCTTTCTCAGTTTGACGCTTTTTAATCGCTATAAAAAAAGAAAAAGATTTTAAACACTTAAGTGATATCAGTTTGCCAAAATGCGGTGGTTTAAAAAATGACAAAAACCCCTCGAAAGAAAGCGAGGTATGTTTTTCTTTGCTATTAAACCATGTTTTGGGTAATCAAAAATGCAGTTGTTTTCAAGTAATAGATGTTAAATCGATGGAAAGTGAAATCTTACGGGCAAATGCCAAATCTCACTGACAAATCTAATAATAAATACTGAGAGACAACAATATGGGTAAACAGGTCTGTAATTAAATCAAGCCTTCAAAACTTGTATACCCCTTGGCAATAAAAGCCATCAATTAGATAATCTGTGAAATACTAATGAAAACAAATTGATCACATTTTGTAAAACGCTAGGTCGAGACTAACGTTAAAATAACGGTAAATAAAATGGGGACGTTATAAACAAAAAAAACTTTTACTACTGATCTACTTTATAAAATTCAATGTATCCGAGTACCTGAGTAACAGTTTTACTAACCGATATTCGCACCGTTTGATGATTAACAGGTTAACCGGGTACTGGTTGACAACACTAGTTTTAATAAAAGAGAGCAGTACAAATTACTATGGAATCTTAATTTTTTGTGACAATATTCATGACTTTCATGGGTCACCCCCATCCACAAATTTAGGTTCCCTCAAAGGATTATTTTGTTATCATTTTATTGAATCTTCAGTACATACAAGTTACCCTTAAAATTACAGCCTCACAAACAAGTAATATTTTGGTTACCTATGAACATTGACCAATACAGATTAAAATGATTCTACAGCATTTATCATTGCACTGCTTTCACCAGAACTTTTTTTTTTGTCGAAAATATACAGAGATATCAATTATCCGTCTATCAGATCTATGCATTATTTATTCTATTTGCTAGGAGTTCTAAAGCTACAGGGTTTTGTTAAAGGTAAACAAAGCTTACAAGAATTTATGACTGTTCAGAATTTGGGGTTTCAGTACATGTACAGACACAAAACCTTTCACCTGTGTTTCTTTTATGAGATGCAACATACATAGTTGCCTTTTATAAGATGGCAGCTATGATTTTACCATTTAAGAAAAATAAGGCCACTGGAAAACAAAATTAAAAACACACAAACAAAATCAGGTTAATGCTACATCTTTTCTTTTGCACAGATGGCAATGTTTTGATGACAGCTAAATGGATGGCATGTGTCTACAGGAGCCTGGATGAGTTCTCAGATAACCAGGCTGTGTATGATACTCTGAGGGCCATGAAGATCATACCCCTGGCCACCAACCAGAGACAGTGTACTGGTGACAGCACCATCTTCTTCCCTCTATCTGAAAATACAGGATTTAGTCAAAATGGTGAGGAAAAGCTTCCCAGAAGACATTTTTGGAAAATATCTTGACACTATCTCACTTATTCTAATATAATAAGAAGTATAATGTGTACTTCTTTCAAACTGAGTGTAGATCAATTTTGTTAGTAACATGTTAAATGTATTTAATGTTTCTTTTGTATTAAAATTCTCTTCCTATAGACCCTATGATGATTCTCCAGCAAGATTTGAACACGATCCATCCCCTTTTGGTTTCTACTGCTGACAGTGAAGTGAATTCTCAAGTACAGAAGCTTCTGCTGAAGATTGGGGTATGTCAGCTGTCCCCCAAGGAAGTCATCTGCCAACACATCATGCCCATTCTTAAGTCAAACTCCTGGAAGGTCAGTTTTAGGCATAACTTTGGCCTAGGTTTTTTTAGATTTTCATGAAAACTAATTATATTTAAAAAAAAACATATTTAAGAATATCGCATACAGGGTTGTTTTTACTCCGTGTTATTTTTGCCCAGTCTCATTTAGAAAAAGTATTGCCTCATTTAAAATTTGCCCATTCATGATGAGGGCAGAGGGGGCAAAAATAAAACTGGGGCAGAAATTTCCCTGTATACTGTACATGTAGATGTATTTGTTTTTGCAACTTATTCCTGAATTGATGGTAGTGATAAATAATTGTAACTGCACATAAACATTTTCAATAATTTCTACAAGGTGCTGATGGCAATTAATTGATACAAGATTACATACAAACATTTATTTCTTGACAATTTCTTAGACAATTATTGTTGTTTCCAGGACAAGAGGAACGACATTCTGATTAGTTACATAATCTACATAAAAGAGCAGATTGAACTGGACCCCTCACTCATAAATGTGGAGGAGTTAGGGATGTCAGCCATATTAAAAACCAACAAAGGTCTGCAGAATCCTTCCCAAAGCTCCATACACTTCCCACCAGTGTACAAAAACAACATCAATCTACAAGATGTGTTACCAGGTATAAGACAATGTTATTTGTAGGAATATTTTTTTTTTTTGAATTGCACAATTGCTTGTATTGGCAAAGGAAACTGAACAACTGAAATATGAACCTCCAGTATCATTTTTATTTATAAATTTTGAAAATCATATAAATACCTACAAAATATTCTTTTAGATTTAAGTGTTTATTACAGGTTTTTTTTAATTTTTTAATTAATCTAAATGCAATGTCTTCTTGTAGGATATGACTGGATTTTATTGGATCCAGTTTACCTTCGGAACACCCGAAATCCTATTGAAATCCAGAAATGGCGGGACTTCTTCATTAAAATTTGGGTGACAGACTTCATAGCAGTAAAGCAGGTCAAAGTAGAGATATCGGCAGAAGATATCGTAAGTGAGATCCAGAGGTGGCTTAATATTGTCTGTACATGTATATTTAAAGTTAATTCAAATTCAATTCATATTTTCTGTTTAATCTAGTCTTCAACTCCTTGGGCTCCACTTAAAGAGGTTCTGGATCCCATACAAGATGGAAGTTACATTGAGGACTGGTCCTCTACAGAACTGCAGGAACTGATCCAGAACAACAGTAAGATGTCCTCCTATCCCCAGCAGATGAGCACACTGTGTGTCCTCCTGGCAGAAAACTGGGACAGACACTTCTCCAAATTCACATCCACCTCCTTATACAATAAATGTGGGGGACGTATGAGGGATATGGAGACATCCTTTAGCATCCTTTTGAGAACCTCCAGTTGGTTGCCAGGATCACAGACCTGTATGAGTGTTGAGAATGAAGATATAATTGTGTCAGAGAAAGTGGTGATGATGCAGCCTTCTTGTTTGTATTTACCATTGAAGGACATAACTGACCTTTTGGCTCACTCTGTAATTTACATCAATGTGCAGATCCCACCCAAAAGTTCTTTTGGACAGTTTTTACGAATTAAACAAAGCGTAAGATTACAGGATTTGAAGAAGTTCTTGATTGACTGGGGCAAAAGAGACTTGGAACAAACACCAAAAATATTCATTACCACCAAATATCACATCAGCAATGTCTATTTGTGGCTTAGTAATCAGCTGCCTCCTATAGAAACCCAAGAACTGCTCCAGAATCACCCAGTTATCTTCGTGCCAGATAAACCTATGCCAGTAAGGTTTGGTCCTGGTTCTGGTTTTATGAACCAGAGGTCACTAGAAGGTCTTCAGGCTGGTAGGATGTTAAATAGTAAGGAAGTCTGGTGGTCTGACCCAACGGGACTCATAGTGAAGCATGGTGAGATCATTCAGGATTATCATTCAGAGCTAAACAAGAAAGCCATACTCTTTGACACTTACGGACAGTTTCATGATCTGAAAATGTTATTCCAAAATGCTGGAAGAATTTCCATGGAGCCCAGTATGTTGGAGTATGGTGAATTACTGGTGCTGATGGGACAAGTTCTAAGCCTGTCTGATAAGTCTGTTTTGTCAGATGCTCTCAAGTTGTACCTGACCATTGGAGGCAAACTGAGACCAGATGGATCACAACTAACTGGTCAGACAAGAATGAATGTAATGGAGATAGAAAAAGTAGCACTCAAAAAGTAAGCAAAATACAGTGATTCATCAATTATCATGTATGTCATAATTCAGTATGTAATATTGTTTCACTGGATCATTTTTTTTCTTGGATTTTCTTATCAGAATACTAAGTGAAATTAAGAAATTTGTAAGTAATGGTTTTGTGCTCTAGCTGATATTATATAGAAATAGCTGAATTATGCATTTAACCACTATCAGATTAAGACTCATAACAATTAATTATTAATGTGTGTGCAATCTCTAGGAAATTAGAAGGGCAGAAGATTCTCGCCACAACACGCAATAAATGGGTAGGTACTAAGGAGCACCCCATGATAGCAGAAAATAGGGAGCTAGAAAAAATGTTTGAGAAAAAGGACCAAGTCAACTTTGTTGTATTGGAGGATAGATCCCCGCAGCCCAAACGGGGAGGAACAGCAGTGCTAGGTAGGTAGACAAGTAGTGAAGCTTAACAGAGGAGTTACTCTTCTTTGCCTTTTGTATTTTGCTTCCAAAAACGATGTCTTCACTGTTGAACTTTGATTTGCCTGATACATGTAGTTTTATTTGAAATAAGTAAATTTACCTGTGTATTATTTGATAGACCGGAACTTGGGAGATAAACTGATGCCATTCTATGACTTTTGTGGTGTGAAGAAGCTATCTGATTGCACTGTTGTTCAAGAAATCCCTGAAATGCTTGAACCATGCTCAGAGCTTCAGTTGTATGTGTTCAGAGCAGTTCCGGTACTTCAGCGATTCCTCTACAAGTTTTACCCAGATATCTATCAAGAACTTCAGAACCAGAATATATCTCAACGACTGTCATCCATGCAATTCTTTAAGGTTAGTCGCTCAAAAACTGTTTATAAAATATTTTGAAATCATTCTTTATTCTTGGTCCCATTGAGTTCGAGATAATGAGGTTTGACTGTAAATGAATTACCTTTATATTTCTTGTACATATTACAGGTGAAAAGTTTGGAAGTGAGGTACTCATTGAATCACACCCCAGATGTTTTTGTCTTGAGGAAAGAGAAATGTGTGCAAACGGAGAGTACCTTCTACTTCCACAGGGATTATACTGAGTGTTATCCAGACATAAACAAAGAAATTGCCAAGTTGTTCTCCAACTCGGATGATAGATGCTCCAAAGACTTGAGGTAAAGTACCGGGTAGGTTATTAGAAAAGGCTGACATGAGCTGTTAATCCTCATCATAGAGGGATACATACTTTTGTATTAAATTTCAGGATTTTCTTAATGAGAATGAGAGAGTAATTCTTTACAATTCAGTTGAAAGAATATTTTGTACCAACCCCAATTTTTTTTTTAAATGAAGTTTGACTTGACTGTACATCAAGACATCTTTTTCTGTGCAGGGCTTTTCTGAATGAGCTAATCACAGCACTTACCAAAGAACCACACACTCTGGAGGAAATAATGGAACAGAGTGACTGTGAACAGCTTCCAGCAAATGAACCTGTTTGGTCTGTTCCTCCACCAGTCTTTCAGGTTCCAGTGCCTATTGAACCAGGTAATTGAGAAAGGCTACAAAAAATATGTTGTTAAAGTACTGTAAACCAACTATTATTCGCATCAACTTTTACTCGCAACTTGTCAGTTTGAAATCAATCCATGATGATTAATTTTCGCGACTGAGGAAACATTCTCTACAAAAACAAACCAAAATAAATGGTTCGCGGGGATTAATATTCAACAGTTACAGTAGGTCGCAAAACTTGCAAATATTTCTCGCACGCGAATAGAAATTGGTTTACAATAAAATGGTCATTGAAAGGTCTACTATCTGTTGCTTTCCTTCTTTCCTGATCGCAAATATACACTTTCCTCACTGAATAGCTATATAGCATAGGGAAATACATGTACATTACAATAAAATTTGTTAAAACTGAGACTATACATTTTTGTATTTCCCCAGAAGAAGATGAGCTATGGCCTGAAGAGGCTGTATCGGGAGAAAAGAGGTCAGATGTTAATCAGACAGAGGAGGGAGATCAGGGCCTGAAAGCTTGGCCACCAGTGTCAAACATACAGGGACCAGTTCAAAATAAAGGTTTGTTCAACATAAAGTTGTAGTAATAGAAACACAATTAAAGGATAAGGAGTTAAGTGGTGGAGAATCAAAGTTGACCATAGTAGCCATGTCAAAAGTCAGTTTGCTGATACATGTACCAAGCACTTTTCAATGTTTTGACAGCTTATTCAGTAAATACAAATATTTGTACATGAAAAGAGGAGCCAAAAATGCTGATATTGTTAAATTTAAAAAGCATCCTTTACCAACCCAATGATAATTTGGATTCTTTAAATTATAGTTAGAAAAGAAAAAGAAGATAAACCTGCAGATTCTAAAGTATGGCCACCTCCAAAGGCTCCTGATTATGTAAAGAGTGTCAAAGAGCTGCCTAGTCAATTTAAGGTCACAGATGAAAGGAAGCCCTCTAGTGGTGAGGAAACAGAGACTGTCAAGGGAGATAAATCTTATGGAGGGGGAATCATGGTGCATGAGAGGACAGAGGAACAGTCATACAATAGGCAGGATGGCGGTGAGGGGAGCAGACAGGGCAGTGGTGAGGGGAGCAAACTTAGCAGGCAGGACAGTGAGGGAAGTGAGTATATGAATGTGTTGATGGTGGTAAATACATGTAGTTCTCCACTTGTCTAGAAATTGTTGATTTGAGGGAATCAAGATCACAACAATCATAGCTTTTTGTGAATTCAGTGTTGCTGTTATAGTACTTGGTATACATGTATCTTATTTTACATAGAAAGTGATCAGTTTCATTAAATGTCATGCAGAATTTAATGAAATCATGTTTGGTTACTGAACATGATCAAGATTTTTTTTAATTTCTTGGGATTTTTTCAAATGTTGCAGTTTCCTGAAATTTCAAAACATGAATTCATCATTCATTTGAATGTTTGGTTTTGTAGAGGGAACAAAGAGAAAGATATCAGAAAATGAGGCGGAGTCCTCGGGAGAAAACAAGAGACCAGTGCCACCTGGTGAGGAAAAAGAACAGGGATGGGAAGTGTCAGGTTTCAAAGCAGAGGGTTCTCTCCAGACAACAGTGCCATCTAGTGGAAGCAGTAAGGCTAAGGATACAGGAATACAGCCCAGAGAGACAACAGGGGAAAAAGTTCATCACGGAGAAGGTCAGGAACATGGAAATATGGAGAATATCAGAAATGAAGATAGCTCAGTGACCCACAAGCCGGGGGGAAAACGACGGCATCCCACAGACAGTAGTCAGGGGTCACCAAGGGTTCCTGAGTCTAAGAGAATTCTAATGGGTATGTACCGGTAAAATACAAATAAAAAGTGTATTCAAACATGTAAAAGTAGAAACTCTGGATTTTTCTTTTATATTTAATTAGCAATTTTAATGTAATTTTGATTGGTTTTCATTTGAATGTCTTTAGAATCTTTGAATTCCTTTGGTTTCATACTTTCTTCATATTTTTCCAAGATTTATTACATGTATTATAAAAATTTATACATGTCATAATAGTTAAGTAATTATTTGTAAAACTTTTCATTGGTGTTGTAACTTTGTATTGCAGATCACCCTGCTTGGACAGAACTAGCTAGTGATTACACTTACGAAGAGTTATGTCAGGGTTCCAATCTCAAGGCCACACCAGAAATACCTCTTGACCTTGACCTGGATGAGTCCAATTTACAAGAAATAGGTCGCTGGGGGGAACACCTGGTCCATCAGTACCTGTTAGAGCAGCAGGAGGGGGATAGAGACATTATAGAGGTTAAGTGGTGTAACAAGGAGAACGAGCAGGGTACTCCTTATGACTTTGAATTATCACGCCAGACAGAAGATGGTGTGGTTAAAACTTTTATAGAGGTCAAGACGACCTTGACTGATGATAAGGATGTGTTTGAGATTTCTTCTCAGCAGATTCAGTTTGCACAGGAACAGCGTGAGAACTTCCACATCTACCGTGTGTTTAATGCCGGGGATGTGGAGCGGGTCAGATTGGTGAGGATTGATAATCTATGTCTGAGGCTGGACCAGAAACAGGTCAGATTGTGGATGATGATTTAGGTCAAACACAGGAGAGTGTTCCACATGATCTCTTGTTTCATTGCTCTGATTTAATGCTTTTCACAAAACTGAAATTATTATGATTATATATTAAAACTTGATAATTACCATCTGTGTATAATTAACTCTTTTGATGCCGGAATTGCAGCAGTATATGAAATTTATATGAATATAGTTAAATCAATGAACAACCTCTTTGGAAAATAAAAAATAAACAATTTTACTCTCATACACCTCACTGGTAAAACTGAATATGTTTATATTTAAAGTGCACATTTGACAATTGTTGTGTAATAACCTGGTTGTCACAGAGAGTAAATTAACTTTTTTATGTCAGATTTATAGAGTATTCTTTCTGTACACAGTCTTGTAATATATTTTTTGTCAATTCAGACATTTATTTTATTCTGAAAGTGTGAATCCATTTAATTGTATTAACTAAAATTTGTTTCTTTAATGTTTGATTTTTGTATTATTTAGATTTTTTGCTGGGTTTTATAATTTGTGCACTTCACTTGTCAACAAAATTTTATGCAACAAATTTTCTTGTGAGTGGGTTGGTTTTGTACACTCTAATAAAGTGCCATATCAAAGTTTACATAATGCACATTGTATTATTGCCAAAGATATGTCATTTCACATACTGCATTGTTTTGATTCTGTCGCATGAACGAGTTTCCTGGTTAACTCAAGTACACTGGTATTTTCTAATGAAAACATTCTAGAATTTATAATTAGTTCATTTATTTATTCCTGTACTAAATGTTTAAAAAGAAAATCTAGCATTGCAAAAGCATGACAACTTTCATATTTCTCTTAGAGACAATTTTACCATTTGTGGTACATGTACAAATTATATACTGTATACAGGGTTATTACTTTTGCCCTTTCACACGTTCATGCAGTTTCACCCCATTTTAAATTTACCCTGTCACAGTTCTGTTTAAGAAGTTATACCGTTTTCTTTCAATTTCCTCCATCTCTAATTCACCTCCTTGTGTCTAGGGAGAAAGAGGTAAAAATAAAACGAGGACGGAAATTTCCCTGTATACAGTAGTAATACATAGGTGCAAGTAATGGAGAATCAAATTTTTCACACGTATTCCTTTAAATACTTATGAACATTCCCTTTGAATATACTTTAAGCATGAAAAACTATGAAATATTCTCTCATATATTGAAATATTCTCTCATACATGTATTAAAACCACTGTTATAAAAGACTATAAGCATAGGATCCCCAGGAATTCCCTATAAGCAGGTTGTACTGTACATTGTAGATATGAGTTATGGGATACTCTTGTATATCTCATGTTTTATATCCGTGATTATTGTATTATCTGGGACCACATACAGCTTTTGGGCAAAGTGTGCATAAACTGAATGTGCTCTCCTGCGAGGGGATGGTCCACTGTGCAGTGCCTTTGTCATATTTTTGCTAAGCAAAGATCTCATGAATATAGTTTTCTTCTTTTTTTCTCTATACTCAAACTAAAGTGTAATTGTTATGTTACAATATAAATACACTTGTAAACATAAATCAACCACTTGTGAAATAGTGTATACTTATTTTGTACTTGTCAGTGCAATAATGCTTACTTAACATTGTTTTTTAAATACCGTAATGAGTGGCATTTTTTAATGTTAATATATGAATCAAATTTATATATTTAATAAATGTGTCACAATCTTTAGAGTAAGCATTTGTATTTGAAGTTAAAAATAAGAAGTGTTCATGGAAGGTAGGGCAATTTGATCAGGAGCTTTGTTGGACCATAGATCTGTTACTTAGCAATAGAGCCTGACTTACCAAGCTGGCTTGATTGGTTCGTGTAAGGATGCTGCATGTGACCTCATTTATGGACGAGTTTCTAGTTAAGTTTTTGGAGCAGTTCCATTTAGGATTAATTAACTAAATACCCCCATAGACTAAACTTGTAATGGAGATGCATCTGGGAAGTTTACAACAACTTTTGTATTAGATCTGTTATGTTTTTTAAGTACATGTACTAAGTAGCTTAAAAGTTTGTCTTGGAGAACATATATGTGTGAATACATTGTTGGAAATGTCTTTATCTTCGGTTGTTTGAAAATGTCAAGGTCAGTTTACTGTTAAGTGCAAGGTTTTATCATTGACAAGTAGCAAAATGGTATCAAACAATACCGTTATGGAAAATTCTGTCGGCAAAAATCAGGAAAATTACATGTTGGTAAAAATGAAAGAAAATGCAAAAGCGATTTATGTAGACTAAGGATTGAAACCAACCGACCGATGTGAACCATAACAAGGATTCATTTTCGATCAAGAGGGGAGGATCCGGGGGTTGGAACCCCAGTTTTGCGAAGTGGAGATCGAGCGACCCGTGGGGAGGAGAGAAAGAGAAAACGTTTACTAGAATACATGTAGATATTTTATGTGCAGAACGTTTTGAATATAATTATAGTTACAGCTCGATTGGCCGCAATTTCTGCTCATATTCCACATATTTCCTTTTCCTCCATTTACCTTCCCTATTCCTCCCTTTCAGTGGTTTTATTTATGAGTGAATGGTAGAAAATATTCTGCTTATATTATTACATGTAGTAACACGCGAGGTTCAATTAACATCAATACATACATTATATAATACATAGTGAAAAAGCTTATACTATCAATTTGATATCAGATTCCGGCGATCTTTGACTATACATGTATATACCATTGTCGTGTCATCTTTTGAAGGGACTAACTTAAAAGTCATTAAGAGAATATGAAAGGCTACAGAAAATTAATCATTTGTTTTACGTTCCCTGGCGGGTAGGTTTTCAGAAAAATGAAGTTAAAAAAACAAAACACAAGTTTATCAAATTCTCAACGATTACAAAGATATTATTTACCATGGCCTAAGATGATTTTTTTTCTCTCCCTGTGTGTGTGAATCTATCTTTAAGTGGGGGGGGGGCACCCTAACCCCCTTTCAAAAATTGCTGGATCCGCCCCTTGGATATGAACTTAATCTTGTTTGCTATATGAAACTTGTAGTGGTACATTAAGGACATAATATTTTTATGCCCCCGGATCGAAAGATCCCGGGGGTATATTGTTTTTGTCCTGTCTGTCTGTTTGTCTGTCTGTCTGTTGTCAACTTTAACCTAGCCCATAACTATTGCGCTGTCAAGGGTAAGGCTTTAATATTTGACATGAGTGTTCATTATGACAAGACCTTTCCATTGGTGCAGACATTTTTTAACATGTGACCTCAACTGTGACCTTTGACCTACATTTGAAAAATTTTAAATTAACATTGGCCATAACTGTTGCACTGTAATCTACGTCCCACTCCAGAATTGTGTTACAATCGGGAGCATAGTGTTTCACAAACACATCTTGTTTTCTTCTTATTTTGGAAAATACATGTATGTTGTCGTTCGCATGACTTATAATCTCCTTCGCACGACATAATATCTTGTTCGTACAACTTATAATCTCTATATTGCACAATATATTATCTCGTTCGCATGACCTATTATCTCGTTCGTACGAAATAATATCTTGTTTACAAGAGATAATTATATTATTCGCACGAGATATTATCCCGTTCGCACAACATATTTACGTCGTTCGCACGAGATTTTTAATCTATCTCGTTCGCACGATTTATTATCTCATTTGCACTAAAAGTTTGCACGAGATATGTCATTCGCACGACTCAATTTATCTCGTTCTCGTTTGCATATACTAGTATTGTGTCGTCTGCACGACATAATTTTCTTTAACATTTTTATTTACCTTAATCTGTGTTGACATTTTTTCTACCAATTAGCAGTAAGCACCATGCTTTCTGAAATGACTGATGTCTCTCCAAGACTTCAATACCCAGGTTCGTAAAAAGCCCCACCTTAAGGGATTGCACATTTTTGGGGGAGGTGGAGGAGGGCTGGTACAAATACATGTATTTTCACATTCAAACAAGGGGTTTCTTTTAAGAGTGAGGGGTCGAAATTCCAGATTAGAGTTTGTGAGTCATTTTGTGGAGAGGCTATCAACACATGACATTATTTGTGATTTCCTTTCCATTCCAAAGTGGGTTTTTTTTTAATAATGCTGCGTTAACTTTAAGACATTACAGAGGCAGATCAGGCAATTTCAGGAGGGGGGGGGGGCAGACAAAGAATCTAGAATTTTTAGTCGAAAAAAAGAATTTTTTTCAATACTAGGTTTTCTGTTTTAATGTATGTATTACTATTCTGTAACTACTCATTGCTTCTATTTATAATAAGAATTATTTCTTTACAGTATTTGTATTGCTAAGGCCAACTTTTTTTATATCCTGTTTTACGGGAGCGCCGACCCTAATTTGGGCTAAAATGAAATAAAAATAAAAGTCCCTAATTCAAGTTTTATTTTTATTTCTCCCGCCGATAGTTTATTTATAGTCACTGAAAAAATAAAAGAAATATAAATAAACTTTTCACAAGCCTTTCAAAATGCGATTTGTCATTGGCTGAGGTAAATATATTCATCCAATCACAGTATTCGAAGTATGAATAGTCACTGCACCATGGGCACAGAATAGCGCCAAAATGTCAGAATCGCAGGGTTTCATATATTTTTAAATAGTCTTTTCAAAAAGTATTAGAAAAAAGTATAAATTTTAGATTAACTTTTAATGAAAAATTGAATGAAATAGACGAAACGGTAATCATGATCAAATGTCATGCAGAGGGCCACGTAGAAATTGAGGCTCTGTCAACCACTTGTTTTGAAAGGTGTTGAGTACGTATTATCTCGGACAATTGCTTCAATACATTGAAATACATCTTGAAGATCTTTTTTAAACTTAATTTTAAGACAATAGTGTTTTCTTTTACAATTAACGACAGAACAGAACACAGTAGAACTGGTAGAAAGTGGCGTGGCTGAGGAAATTCGAGTCACAACTTTCACTCGTTTTATGACAAATATTGGAATTCAAAATAACCTACGAAAATATATGCTTGATTGATACAAGACATTATTTCCTTTTTTTTTATATGTAATTTTATAAAATTTTGCGTGCTATGTAACAAATTAAACAGCTGATATAGCGTATCTGTATCTCTTGTTTAGTAAAACAACTTTTTTTACCACTAGGGAAAAGTACTACAGTATTGTTGTAAATGATACGCTCTTTCAAATATTATTCAAATTCAAGGCCTGCTTTCTTTATTTCTTTTTTTTTTCATTCAAATGTTGTGGATTAGAATCAGTTTCAACAATTAAAGTTTTGAACTCTGCAGTAAACAGAATTAAATATTGTCGTGTATTTTACATGTGTATACTATGGGAGAGATGTACATATTTTCTACAATTATGTTGAAAGTTAGCATGTTCAGAAAGAAAAATATAAGGATAAAAAAAGATCAAATATACAACAGATTGTGGAAGTTTGAATATTTTTTCAGTAGAGAGATTGAGGTACTTTTTTCCACCTAGGTATATATTAATTTGAATTGCGTTGAAAAAAAAATATTATACAACTTTTCATTTTATCATGTCTCAGTGCACTTCTGTGAATTAATTTATTTTAGCTGATCCATTGAATGTCTCACTGTATATTTGCCATAACTTTGCCAAAGCTAGTCCAAAATCCTCAAATCTTGTAATTTGCTGAATACCGAAAAATAAAAGATTCTGAAAAGTTTATGAAGGGTGTGACATAAGTCCTATAAGTTTTACTGTGGTGACACTGATATTTGACATCTGAGAGAAGACTATAATAGATTTGTATGTTTGATTTGCATTAATGTTAGAAACTGCAAGCTGTTAATACTAGAAATGCACCCCTGCCCCAAATATTAATACCTAAGAGAAAGTTAAATCTAAAATAGTTCATTAGCACATTAGCAGTACCAATTTTGTGTTTTGTATACATAAGTTTTTCAAATAACACTTTTTTTCCTAATAAATTAAGGTCATAGAAAAAAGTTCCATAATTAATTAAAAATAAAAAATTTTATTGCATTTTTTCATTTTATTTTTATTTTTCTGACCGACTGCTTAAATTTTGAGTTTTTATTTTTATTTTTATTTCGACCCCCCGACTCAAATTTTTGAAAAAAATTCCCGTAAAACAGAAAATAAAAAAATGTTGGCCTAAGGTTCCCCCTGTATTCCACGTCTAACAAGCTAACCCCTCTAACTTTTAAAATTTTTATTGACATAAAACATCTGTGACTCACAGGAGTGTATCCTCTTCCTTGTTTAGTTACAAACAAATTTCGAATCACACATGTTCATATGTGTATATTAAAATTTTTGAGCGATCACCACAGTACAAACGGTTTTCTTCATCAAAACACAGTCCTTGTGGTATCCACGAATTTCCTAGAACCAAGAGACGCGACAGAAAATTTCCATCTTTGTCCACCAAGTGAACATTGTTGCTAAACACATCAAAAACAACAATGTTCAGAAGCATATCACAGCATATCCCAGCAGGAAGGAATCCGGATCCGGTTTTACCTGCGCCGGAATAGATCCACCTCCTACCGCCGGTAATATCCACCGCCACCAGTTCCGTTCTGTCTGATGTAATTACGTCCATATTGGCATTCTCTGTCACAAACTGAGGAAGACCATAGAGGGCATCATTCTTACTGTCAAATTCGATTCCCTGCTTCTCTTTCCCCATGGAATCGTATCGCATTATCCTTGCTCGATGCTCCTTTACCATCCCAACAAGAAGGTCGCCAGTATAGCGCGAGGAACATATACAAAGTGGCGTCCAATCCCCCGTTTTCTTGAAAGGCTTCAAACGTAGGCTTGTTTTAAATGCACCTGAAATCTTTTGTTCATAGTGCACTTTCAAAATTCTTTTGTTCTCCATGTCGGTGTAAAGAAGCAGCCCATCTTGTGCCAGAGTATGAAAACCAGCACCGCTTCTGGTTTGTATATTTTCAAGAACGTTTCCCTGGAAATCCAGTAGAATAAGGGAACCACTCATGTCACTTATCCACATTGTATTTGACCCTGCGCACGAAATATGGCATCCTGACTTAGAAGTGTGGTTTGGCAGACGGACAGTTGCCTCCCACGTTAATGAAGGGACGAGGTCGGAAGATTCATCAGATTTGTCGAGAATAGGCCACTGTGCAGACGTTAGATCTGGGTTGTCGACAGCTGGACTATTTTCGATAACTTCTGAAATAGCTGTTGCTCCGACAACACATTGAGGTGAAAATGTTCCCTCTTCGTTCGTTTCTGTATTACAAGTCGCTGATGTATTTGTGATCTCGTTTTGGATGACACACTGAGCTAATGAAACATCCGTAGCATTCTGCCTTACACCTGAGAATAAAGAACGGGATAAATCTTTCTTTTCATCACTGATCGTTTCATTTTCGTGTACAGATGCTGAGTCTATTGTGTTTGAATCCGAATTCGCTGGACTTGTTTTTGTCAAAGATGTTGTCTCTTTCTTAACGTCTTTGGATTCGTATACTTCCTCCGGTGGATCCTTCTCCTCTCCTTTTTTGGTGTAGCTTACGATCTCGTGAAGTTTGGTGGCGTTGCTTCTCAGATGCCCTTTCTTGCAGATTTGACAAAGGTCGTCATGGCATGAATTGCAATGGAATTCAGCATTTCCATCACAAATTGTACACAGTACAAAGTGCTGGGCTGAATTAAACGAGGCATCATCCATTCCTTCGCATCCTGTAAGAGAGCAAAAACTGCATTGCTAACAGAGTTTTATATCTAGATAGCTGGGAGTATTTCTTTAAAACTTATAAAGTCTATGTTCACATCCTCATGGCCTACAAATGATAAAGAGTAATATTGTTCAAAGTCGTATGGGATTTCCGTCATCTATAAAAGGGAGATAAACCTAGAGAGTGGTGTAATTTTATAGTAGTATCGTAGATTGTTCGATTTAAATAAAGCTTATAATAGACACTGAAAAGATAAAATGCGTTTTGAATTAAATTAATCAATAGCGCATTAATATTGGTAAACTAATTAGCACTTTTTCTACCAATAAATACCAACTAATTACAATGTTCATTGAAAATATTGTGCGCATTACATTTTTTCCATCGTTGAATGTGCATTCTGAAAGCTGTTTCAATGTTGAAATATCGACCAAAACATACGTTGTCTCAATTTTTATATATCAACAAGCTTTCAACGATTAAAATGTTTAGCATCTTAAAAATTGTAAAAACTTTGAGCTTTCAACGTTTAAACCTCAACGTTGATCTATAGTTGTTCAACGGTGCAACTTACTCGTTACTTCTACTTCAACGCTGAAACAATGTCACGTGCCTACTCCGCAACTTCTCAACCGAGTAGTCTCGTTCAACCAGACACTCGACTGTCTTCGTACAGTCCGACAAGTAGGTCTGTAGGTCGGAGTTCACGGAGACAGTCGAGTGTCTGGTTGAACGAGACTACTCAACTGAGCAGCGCAAGCGATGCTTTATGAATTGTGTCTATGAGAACAAATATCCGTTATACCTCTATCATACTAGTACTGTAAATTTTGAATTTATCGGGTGATAGCAAATGCTAAAATAATGCTTAAATATGACCACTTGTCATATTGAAAATTTTGTATTTTCTGCCAACTGGTAAATTCAAAATTTACAATAAAATACGTTCAGGAACTTTCAAGTCTAAAGTGAGCAGCCATTGTTAATCGAGAACTTTACACGCACATAAAAAGAATAAAGGACATGAATTAAACACACTTGCAGTTGGATTTGTTTGGTAATTTACACTCATAGTTATTGATCGTAAATCAACACTACGAATACCTGTTAATACACCATCGAGATAATATTAATCAACCGATAGTTATGAAGGTCATCAAAAAGTAAGCCCTCTCCCCATTTCATTGTTGAAAACACGTCTGTAGAAATTTAGGCACATTACCGAGAGTTTATCTGTATGTCTGGCTTGTTCTGGAAGGGTGGAGTGTTTTTACAGAATTTGGCGATCGTTGTCCTTAAGTAACCTTTGTACTGAAATTATCTCCTATGAACTGGCACACTTGTCATCGATAACATCTACACATTATTTCCTCACATGTAAAGGTGTCATAATCAAATATAGATGTATTAGTTTGACATACCGGTACATCTACATACCGTAGATCTTTTTCATTGTTTACTTACCTGTGCACGTAGCGCCAAATCAACTTAAGTTCAATATTTAAATCTATTACACATACTATCAAAAGAAGTTAATTCAACTTCCGTAAAAGCTTATTTTTTTAATGGCCCTTTCAACTGATTTGAAGATACGCAATATTCGAGATTATTTCCTTTTTATTAAATGATAGGTGTGTTTAAATATATATTTAAAAAAAAATAACATTAATATGTCTTCAATATGATTAAAAGAAGGCATATCTTGGCCAAAAGATTGAATTAGTGTTTAATTATATTTATTCCACCTGAGTATTTATAATAAGTTAAACTGTCCATTTTTAAATGCAAGCCTTTATGTATCCGCAATGCCGCATTTTACTCAAGTTGACTGCTTAGATGTTTAGGAATCGAGCTGCTTAAAACAAAATTATGTAGTGAAAAATGGACCTGCTTTTGAGGAATATTAACTTGAACATTTACCTAGAATGAAGATTACACGCAGTGCGTGCTCATCTTAATCATGATTGGTAGTTTGCATTTTATTTTCACTTCATCCATGCAAGTTTGGCCAATATAGGGAATGTACACGTTTAAATATCATATAGGTACTTCTTCTTGAGTATTCATTGAGAATAAGGGCTTTTTTATTCATCTATCTTTCAACTGAAAATCCATAAAATGTGTAGCTACTAAATTAAGAATGACCAACTTTACTAGTATTTGCTAATATTCTACGATAAATTAATTTATCATACAATAAAATGTATGTTTAAAAAATAGATCCCACATGATAGGCTTTCATAACTTCGAAGCCCTGGAGAAAACTGTGACGGCAATGCAAATGTTAAAAACTCACTGATCATCTATAAGTCGCGAACTTCAACATATATGGAGTTCCATTGATGACTATTAAAATTTAAAAGAAAATTTACTGACAGTCAAGTGAGACAGACGAAAAGGACAATAAAACCAAGCTAATTTCGAAAGAGTAGCAATAAATATTCCTCGCTCTTTAGAACATCGCGTAGAAAAGTTTTAAACGAAGAGATATAAAATTAGAATTTAACGAAGTTCTATTGTTTATAAATTCAGTTATTATAGCAGTTGTTAGCATTATCAAGTCTCAAGAGATAGAGTGATGATCGAGAATTAATTAGGATCTGTTTATATAGTTATGAAAATGCGGAACAAAATTGTCAGATATGCAATGCGTCTGTAAGCGAACTTTACAGGTGGTATTTTGAACTGAAAATAAAAGACAGAGCAGGGTGTACTATATCTGTGAAGCGGAAAGTGGTTTATGCACAAGTTACTGTTGAATGATATATAGCTATAAATAAATTGGCGAGATGGACTAGCTAAGTAGCTATAGAACCCATTTTCCAGCCAGTTAAGCGTACCTCTAATGATCGATTGATTACTTTTACTTGCAATATTGATGAATATATGGTAATCTTTATAAGGCAGTATCAGTTATACTAGTCGAATTCATCGTAAACATATATGAATGTCAGAGAAAATTGATTCGAACAACACTGGTCAGAATTCTCTATCCAGAGTTGTTGTTCCCACTACGCTCCAACTTACACCTCTGTCAACGATTGTTAAAATTTTGAAAATGGTGAAAAATTGTCTTAAAGATAGATTTTTTCATGTCTAATTATCAGTAAAGGGGATTTATTTTTAATTTATCACCCCTTAAAAGGTCGATCACTCCCACTCTATAGAAGAAATTCAACGCTACATTTTGAAGGACATACATGTACAATAAAGTAACTTTATTGTATGTCCTTCAGAATTTTAGTTGTTTGTTTATTTATTGTTATTAAAGATTATTGTTACTTTTTGCTTTACGAATATTTTTCGATCGATATAACAATGAAAGTTTAACTTTTATAAATATTTACAGTCGGATGTGATAGACAATGTATTTTCTGAATTAAGCTGACTGAAATATTAATATTTTCTTTTAAAATATTAATCGTACATAAAATCAGGTTAAAATAAAAAAAAAAATAGGAAACATTCTGAAAATAAATCTTAAGTTTTGTTTCCATACTTATCCGAATAGGATCTTTTTCAATGAGGGAAAGAAGGTGTGTGTTGAAATCTGTCACGTGACAAAAATATGGCGGACGTTCCCAACACAAATCCGTTTCTGGATGATGAAGACGATGAAAGTACAGTGATTGCGGCTACAGAAGTAGTTAACACTGAATCACAAGATGTAAAAGCAAGTGAACACCATGAACTTTCATTAGATTCACTTGCTGCAAGCCTTTTGAAGGAGAATTTTGTTTTGACAGCCCTTGAATTTCACACAGAGCTCTTAGAGACCGGAAGAGAAATCCCACGACTCCGAGACTATTTTTCAAACCCGGGAAATTTTGAGCGTACAAAAGACGAATTTGGAACTTCATCACTGCGTAATTATTTTGTTGTTACTAAATGTGCATAAATTGTTGAAGGTTAGGTATCTGAATGTTTATCACTGTTTATCACAAAGTTTTTGACCAATTGCCCAAAAGCCAGAAAGGGATAAAATATCCTGTTTACATATAATAGCAAGCACCGTTCTTTAATCGAGCTCTTTTGATAATGTGTATGAACGGAGAAAATCTGAGTTAAGATCCACACATTGTTTAAGGAAATTTTTGTTAGTCCATGTAAAATATATAATATGTATTACGGTGCCACTGCTGGGGGGAGCACAGTTATACACCTTTAAAAGAAACATTTACATAGCTTACACTTTAAACTTTGATCCACCTCTTCAACTTCAACAGCTTGAGACATACAGACTGTGATGTCACATGATGTTGTATGTAAGTTGCATTTCTCTAATTGAGTCTAAATAGGCCCTTTGCAATTTTGTAAAGAAAGGCATTGTAGAGTAGATGCAATTACTTTTTGTTTCATTTAAGCTCTCTGCAAGAACTAAATCTTAATACATGATTACTGGTTGATTGTTTATTCACCATTTCGGCATGGAATCCTGGTAGCGAAGAAATTCTGGGAAGGTTTCACAGAAAAATTTACAAAGAATGGGTGGACTTAATGCCCTATTTTGGATCTTTTTGCGACTACTCTACCAAGCTGTAAGTGAAGTGAATCCAAAATATATTACAAGCAATAGAAAGAGTTACGTATACATGGTTATATTATTTAGAACATTTGTACAAAAGCAATGCCCTGTTGCCATGAATCAAAATTGAAGCAACGATAAATTAGTGTCATCTTCCGGAATTTGGCATGTACCTGGAGTGGTTTTTAGGTCACATAATCAATATTGATAGAAGGCGGGCCTATTGATCGGCGTCATTGTTGACCTCTCTCTCTCCCTCTCTCTCTAGAAATTCGAATATGTGTATGGCATATTACAGTGATGTCAATATGAAATTAAAAAAAAAAATGTGTGGACACGCAAAATTAAAACAACATTTAATTTGCTAAATTCTGAAAACGGCAACCAAACACACTCAAAGATGTGATTTAGATCGAGGTAAGGTTGAAGAATACAATGTAACTGTTTTCACAAGTACACTCGCAGGTGGACATCACATGATGAATTGTAATATTTAACAGGTCAATCAAAGTCAAATCAAGGTTAACTAAGTCATAACAATGGAAATGAGAAGTTTGTTTTAAACATGTTTTTTGTTAAATTAAGTGTGAGCACACGTTTGTCGGCTCTTCTCCTTTTAATATGACATTATTTTGTTCAATATACAACTACAGTTTTCTGAAGAACAGCCGACAAACATGCGCTGACTATGTATTCAGACGATGAAAAACGCGTGACCCTGATTATCTATTGATATTCAAGAAATCTTCAGGCACCATGCCTTCGATATTTATTTAGTTTACCTCGAAAAGAGCGTTTTAAATTCACATCTTTACCATGAATACACGGTTAAGATATCGGGGATTTATGTGATGGAAAGAAATAAACATTTTATGAAACTTTAATTTACAGTATTTTTTCTGGCCAGTTAAGTCCACCCATTCTATACAGATTTTAATTCGAATTTTCTCTGTTCTTACACATTAGTCTATTGAGCTCACTGTGCTCACTATAACCTCCAATCCACTTTGCACACATAGTAACATGGTGGCTTAAGCATTTAAGCATAGCAACTAGTTACTTGACAAGATTTACAAAATAGAATTTTCTGTAATCTCTCTACTACAGAACTAACATATACATGTATCATCATTAAACATGCCTTTGTTTGTGACATAATCTTTAGTCACTAAAAAAAGCCTTGGATTGTCCAGGAAATATCCAAAAAGTTCAGAATCTCAATCCTGTGGTATGGAAGGTTGTCAAAGTTTGAGAAATTTTCAATTAAAAGTTTTTCTTAGTCATGAAAATGTGACAAAAAATTTCAACATGAGACACATGATACAGTATGGTTGAGGCAGGCTACAGAAGTTTACTGAAATTGGTGATGTCATTGCTTTAGTAGTATGACACAAAGGAAACTGCATTTTTATGCAATAGTTAGGTGTCCATCGTCCGTCTGTCTGTCTGTAAACAATTATTTAAACGCTACTCCTCCTACAATTTTGGTCTGGTTCAATATAACTTGGCACACAAGTAGAATACACTAAGATACATAATTCCATATATCAGTTTTTGATTTCGATGAACGGTGTTGCCATGGTTACTAAAAATAGAAATTTCTGTGAAAAACTTTCAAAATGCTACTCCTCCTACAGTTTTGATCTGATTCCAATATAACTTTGCACACAAATAGACTACACTAAGATACATAATTCTGTATATCGGTTTTTGATTTCGATGAACGGTGTTGCCATGGTTACTAAAAATAGAAATTTCCTTGAAATACTTTCAAAACGCCACTCCTCCTACAGTTTTGATCAGATTTCAGTATAACTTGGCACAAAAGTAGAATACACAAAGATTAATAATTCTATTTATAAGTTTATGATTTCGATGAATGGTGTTGCCATGGTTACTAAAAATTGAAATTTCCTTGAAATACTTTCAAAATACTACTCCTCCTACATTTTTATTCTGATTTCAGTATAAATTGGCACACAAGTAGACTGCACTTAGATACATAATTCTATGTATCCATTTTTAATTTTGATGAACAGTGTTGCTATGGTTATTAAAAAATTGAAATTTCCTTGAAATACTTTCATAACCCTACTCCACCTACATTTTAAGTCTGATTTCAGTATAACTTGACACACAATTAAACTACACTGAGATACATAATTGTCTTTATTTATTTTTTTTGTTGAATGATGTTGCCATGGTTACTAAAATCAAAATTTCTGAAAAGTTCTTTTAAAAGGCTACTCCTCCTACAGTTTTAGTCTGATTGCAATAAATCTTGCCACAAAAAGAGACTAAACCAAGGATCATTATTCTATTTATTGCTGTTGCAAAGTGTCACGTCCAAGTGCTACTTTTATCTTCCTTTGTTATAAGTACAAACCAGTAGAGTTACAGTCTCATCAGAGACTTCTGGTTAAACATATTATGAATTAACAAATTTCATTTACAACAGTCATTCAAAAAATATGGAGACAAAGTTGCTTTTGTTATCATTTTTAAGAAATTTAAGATGACATTATCATTTGTAAAAAATGTTTTTGTTTATGAACTCGAGTTGCAGTTGCATTCCATTTGTTCAAATCGAACTCATGGTACTACATTTTAAAACCAATGTTTTTTGACACCATGGAGCACTCTTAACAACATTGTAACATCAAAATATAATGTCATGAACAGTTTGTGGTGCCTTGACCGCTCGTTAAAAATGAATACTCACGTACTTGATTCTTAGGTTGCTATGTTAGAATTGTTTATATCACCAATGTTTAGATGTTTTCACTGTGTAACTCAGCTTTCCCAAACACCCATCACTTTCCGTGACATTTTCTAACTCTTTTTGACCAGGTTTTTACTAATAATCTGTTTCCTCACAGGTCTGATAAATCATCCTTATATACAGAGTATGTACTACTCAAAAACTGCCTTTGCCATTTTTACACAAATGCATAGGTCACTTTATATAATTCCTGCTTCCACGTGCATTTCAGAGTTTGTTTTGGATCTGGATCATGCAACATCTTTTTGTCATTTTCCAGGAGGACTACCAGTCTTCTGTAATTGATTTCTTTTCAAAAGAGCAAAATATTACCTCACAGTTTGGAATGTGAAATGATGAAACAATACTCTACTTGAATGTTTAAATTTAATTTCATTTTAGCCCTATTTTACAGGGATATGACAATAAATACTTTATAATGTATTGTTAGTAAATTACCAAACTTTGATGGGCTGCATGACCCCATTTTCACAGTCTTAAATTTAAAATAATTTTGAAATATCATATTTCAAATTTTTTATTCAAATTATTTGGATTTATTGTTAAAATATGTGACTAAATCTGGTATTTACATGATGTTAAATGAAAAAGTTATCATGATGAAAGTCTACATATTTTTTGAATGACCCTCTTTTAATGAATCAAAATTGTTTGTCCATGTCACTTCACTACAGTAAAACACACTTATAATGAAGTGCCAGGCCGGGACGGACAATTTTGCTTTGTTATTTACGTAATTTGTTATATCAATTAGCATCAATTTGTTATAAGCGTATTCACTGACTATAAGCGTGTTTTACTGTATAAGGTTGATTACTGTGCATAGCAAGTTTGGGATTAAATATGAAAATGTAGTAAAGCCGTACATGTCATAAATAGCTGTTTATAAAGTGATAACATGTACACATTTTCAATCAAGCATAGTAATTTTTATGGATTGTCATGATAATATTTAAGATGAAATTTTCTTGCATTTTTTTTTTATTTTGATAGATTTTGGAGTCCCAAACTATCTTAAGTATTTTTCATGATTGGTCATGTGATAAAATTGATTCCTTTGCTTTTGTTTCCTTTCTGACTAATTTGATAAATCTTTAATTCAAATTTTATATTTATTTAAATAGCAAAAATATGTATAGCTTTGCTTTTTCCTCAAATAGCATCTATTATTTTATGATATCAGCATGCATTTTTTACTAGGATATAAATAAAATAGACATTTTAAAATCCAATGTTTAAATATTTTCCATTTGATAATAATCAACAGATAGAACATCCAGTATACAGACATTTGATTCTCTGGACTTTGCCCGGTATTCAGATGATGGAGGTGGACAGGTGGATGAAAGAGTGGCAGGTATAAAACAAACATTCACATAACAACTATAGGTGTCAATAGGTGACATCTAGAGGAATTCTGATAGAAATAAACATAACATATAACACCTATATGGAAGACATCTAAAGGGGTTTTAATGGAAACACACAGAACACCTGTAGATGATATCTAGATGGTTCTGATAGGAATAAGCATACACAGAGTATCTAGTTGACATCTAGAGAGAATAAACACACAGATATATAACATTGGGGTGGCAGATGAAATAGAGGATGTTCAAATAGACCACATCAACAAGAATCAAAAAAGATACAATACCTGAATATTTAAATTTGGTACATGTGTGAGCAGTTTGATTGATCCTATCAATAGGGATTTACCAGTATCTATAAGTATAGCATTAATTTAATTTTATACCTATGAATAATCTTTGAAATTATTTAGCTTTGCATGAATTTTCCTGCATAATTTGCATGATATATGTGATATTAATGTCTGGCTTTTGTTTAAAAAAAAAACACTTGTGTTTACTGTCTAATCAGACAATAGCAAGTATAAATGTTCTGATTTATGGCAACAATTTAAGCATTGAATTATTATTTTTTGAAAGATGTAGTCTGATAACTGCAATGGTTGTGCAAACAAATTGAGTAACGAGTGTTAGACCATTCATACCATTTGTTTTTGCTTCTTTCTAGCCATTTAAATACATGTACACTTAGGTATGAGGCATCATTGTTTAGCATTCTAAATATTGTCTCCTGAAAGATATATGCTGGGGTTTGAAAATGCTGTACTGCATACATTTATATCATCCATTTCATTTCATGTTTATTTTTTGTTTAGTTCTGGAATTTGAACTTAGAAAAGCACAAGATTCCATCAAATCTCTTCGAGCAAGCTTAACAAAAGAAGCAGGTAAAAATTAGTAATTTTTGTAGTCAACATATTTTAAAATATAAAAAAAATACAGTACTGGTATGTGCATGAAATATTAAAGGAAAAACTTGCAGTTTTTGTTCAAATGCTGTTGTGATTAAAAGTTTTACGCAGTTAAATATTGCCAAAATTTTAATATATGGTAGCTCAGCTTGTTAACAAATATTCATTAAATTCTACTATGCAGAGAATGAGCTTGGATCAACAGAGAAGGTAAATGAGGGTGTGGTCACTCTGGGACAGGAGGAGGCCATTAAACCATTAGAGAGGAGGGCCATTAATTTCCTGATTAATGAGTTCCTCCTACAGCAGAACTACAAACTCACAGCTGTCACCTTCTCAGAGGAGAATGAAGATCAGGTAAGTCTGTTGTTAACTGTCACAACTTTAAGATGTGTTACTTATGACAGAACTTTTTAAAGTTTTATCTTGCAAAAAATGCTTTCTCAAATATATCTCAGAGCTACAAATTGAGATGAATCTAATTTTTTATTTCATAAAATCCTAGTGTACACCATCTCTTTTAATTTTGTGCTTTGTTAGGATTTTGAAGACTGGGATGATGTGGGATTAAACAGGGCTCGGCCACCAAGTCTCTTACATTTGTACAAAGATTTCGGGAGCCATGCTGTCCCACAAACTGAAACTCAGGACTTCTCCTGTCAGGCAGATCTGGATCTGGAGGAAAATCAGAGGAGGGAGGAAGAATGGAATGATCTGAAATCTCAGCTGGTATGTACAGCAAGAGGAAACGGGACAGTTAAAGGGGCAGGGGTATATTGGGAAATCTCAGCTGGTATGTATATCAAGAGGATATGGAATGGTTAAAGGGGCAGGGGTATATTGGGAATCTTACCTGGTATGTACAGCAAGAGGAAACGGGACGGTTAGAGGGGCAGAGTTATTTTTGGAAGTTGAAATAGGGTTTGAAAATATATGTATATTAAATGTAGAAGTACTTGTATCTTTGTTTCATTTGTTTGATTAATACTGGTATGTACATTCTGTGCTGTCTTTAACAGGAGTCAAATATTGCTGATTTTGAAAATCAGATTTCAATCTTAAGAACAGAAAACCAGAACTTGATGTCACAGATTACTCAGTTCCATAGGTTAGTTAGGTCCTCATTTTACAACACTTTCTTTGCAATATATTTCATCCTTTGATTTCTTTTGTTAGTTAATTTATTGAAGTATATGTATATTATTACACAATGATTTTTTCTACAAAGTTATTAAGTTAAGGAGTTTCCAAAAAAATCATAAATGTATTTATTTTCCTTAATGGTAAGTTCTCTTGTAAAACTAGGTAGGTTTCATACAGATAGGGACACACTTCGTGAAGGATATCTGATAGAACTTAATCTGAAACACTCTTTTTCAATTTTCTAGCCAAAGATCTGAAAACCAGGTTATACACAATTCTGCTCCTTTGAAATCTTCAAAATTGTCTGATCAGGAAATAGATTACACAGTGGCTGTGGAAAGCCCTAGTGTTGGTGAGAATAGTAATGAAGAGTGTGATAAGAGAACTATGAATGGTGAGTCAATGATGGACACTAATTGTGAAAGTGAGGCAAAAACTGTGAAAGAAGGGGACCAGTCTAATGATAAAGACATGAGTGTGGGGTCACATGACTTTGTTGTCATAGATTCAGACCATAGCATAAGTGATAAAAGTCCTGACAAAAAAGAAAGTTCCAGTAAAGAAAATCCAGACGATGACTCAGGGCGGTAAGTGAACAAAGCATTAGTCCAAGAACTGGATATAAACAATGCTTATAAAAGTGTGATGATATACAATGTAAAACGAAACCAGGGCAATGTTAGAGAATTCATAACTGAATGTTTCTGATTTTTCAGGCATTTATCACCCACTTTCAGAAAAGCTCTCTTAGATGTTTGTTTCCATGTTTCTAAAGATAATCGTATTGTACATGAGGTAAGTGACTATTGAGTCGTCTAGAGGGGCTGTAAATGTATGTTTCAAAAATAAGATATAATTGTTTATTTTTTTGTTAAGTAAGATAATTTACATGTGTCATATATTATTGCATTTTGTTTTTATTTTCAATGTAGGAGGTTTATTAGCCTATGTTTTTATTTTTTGACAGGTGTCCCGAATCATTGGTGCTGACAGAGACCACATCGTCACTATGTTGGCACGCTGTCTTCCTCATATAGTCCCCAATGTACTCCTGGCTAAAAGAGAGGTAGAATTTCTTTTTGGTATTCAAAGAAATGAATTTAAGTATCAGAGTTTTAGAACACTGATACAGGTACTGTAAAATCATATATTTTCTTGGGGTCAAATTGTCGTAGTTTGAGGGAAAAATATGGGTTCTTGGGGATTTGATTTTGTGAATGAAGAATTGCTGAGTTGTAATATTTGTGAAGAATTATATTTTGTGGTGGACATAAATTCTCTTCATACCTCGAAAACAACGAAAATTAACCCCTCATGAAAATTAGTAATTTCACAGTATTCTATAAAATAAAAATGAAAACTAGAATACTGAAGTACAATAAATCATCATATTTTACTTTTATTTGTGACTAAATTAAAATTGAATCTAAGATTTGAATACATGTATTATAGTAAATTAAAATTGAATTTAAAATAACAAAATTACAGTTTATTATACAGACAAATCTGTCTACCGGTAATGAAGACAAAATATTTCCATGACTTAGTTATTCAAGTCTTTGACTGTTTTTTTTTTTGACAGGAGTTAATTCCCTTGATATTGTGCACTGCCATGCTCCATACAGACTCTAAAGAGAGAGACAAGCTCCTTAACATTCTCTTTAATCTGATCAAAAAACCAGATGAAGAACAAAGGTTTGCTGATTGTGATTAACATTTATTGTCTCAAAACTTAGTCAAAAGTAACTTTGTAATGAAAATATCTCAGAAATTCTGCAAAAAAAAAAACCCCAAATACTTGCACTAAAATAAATCTGTGGCAGAAAAATATGATTTAAGATCAATTACCAGGACATGTGCTTTAGTTTGATATTTTTTATAGGCAGATGATCATGACAGGCTGTGTGGCGTTTGCCCAACACACAGGAAGTGCTCGTCTGATGGAGGAACTCCTTCCTCAGTGTTGGGAACAGGTAGTTACTCTTTCAAATGTATTCCAAGAGTAAGAAAAAATTGTGAAACATGAAGAACATTACAGTGACAGCATATAATAATTGTATTTTTAAACAATAATATTGATTTTATATGTACACGCGTGTTAGTGATTTTGTTACTTCAGTTTTTCCATTTGAATATGTCCCATATCTCCCATTGAGGTAATTTATCTCTAAAACAAAGAAATAATTCATATACATGTAGATAAACCACAAGTATCCAGAGAGAAGAATCCTAGTGGCTGAAGCATGTGGCGCACTGGCATCCTACTTACCTGTAAGTTATCCTTTGTTTATACCTCCACTAGTTGAGAAAACATTGCTTTACTTACAAGTACACAGTAGTTCTAAGAACTTGAGTTTTCTTTTCCAGGCAATTATTTTCCATTGACTAGGTTTTCAGTTGTCTGATCCTTTATTTTGTCAGACTGAGATTTTTGTCTTATCTATTCTAATTTTTTTTGAGACTGAGATTTTGACTTATTTAATTTTTCTCAGACTTACCTAATTTATGTTTTTTCAGACTGAGATTTTGACTTATCTAATTTAAATTTTTTTTCAGACTGAGATTTTGAGCTCGCTCATTCTGTCGATGCTCCAGCAGATGATGGCTGAGGATAAGGAGGCGGAAGTGAGAGAGGCTGTGGTCCGGAGTCTGGGAATTCTCTTTGGATTTATCTGTGATACTGACAAATACACACAGGTAGCAACTCTTACATACTGATAAATACACACAGGTAACAACTCTTACCTACTGACAAATACACCCAAGTAACAACTCTTACATACTGACAAATACACACAAGTAACAACTCTTACATACTGACAAATACACACAAGTAACAACTCTTACATACTGAAGCATTATGCAAAAGGATTGCTACATTTACAATGTAGATGTAATTGTGTCATGATAAGGAAAGGCAATACATAAAGCAGACATGAATAATAGGAAGTATATTTGCATGTATTTAAAATGTTAATACTTCATGTACCTAGGGTTCTTGTATCTCACAAAAAATGTTTTAGTAAATACATAAAACTACACAAATTATATGATTTATTGATCCTGTAATTGCCTGGTGTTGTAGGGTTGTGAATTACTATGGGCATCCCTGAAGGATTCTTCAGAGCGTGTGGTGACTGCTTCCCTCCATATCTTTCTCCCCTCCCTTGCTGTCTGGGCAGATGAGCTCGATAAACTCCAGCACAGTCTCATACACAGTGTGGTCAAAGATCTGGAAGAACTAGTTAAGGCAATTCCCTGATGGGAACCAGTATAATCCCTCTTTTTCTTTGCTAGTCACACTCTGTTATAACAGCATAAATCTACCAAAATTAGCAGAGAGGGATTTGTTTAATGACATATTTGTGAGATGGATTTAAATATGTTTTATACAAAGAGTTTCAAATAATTTTTTGATTAATTGGTACTCCAAAAACAAAGAAGGAGATTTTGTTTTTTTTTTTGGGGGGGGGGGGGGGTGTATTTGCAAACATGCTTAGATGTTTTTGGTGCATTACATTAATATGCTGGTTATAACTGATCTGCTTATTTTTTTTACTACTTTTAATTAATTAATGTAGTAAAGCTTTTATAAATGATTTAATGCTTTTTTAATTTTTTTTAATTAATTTTAATATCGTTGATTTTATTTTGATTAATTAAAAGAGTATTAAGCTTTGAATTTTCACAAGTCACTTCACAATTTTGTAGTGTAGATTAACATAAATTATTATCACTATAATGAATTTGTAACACTGTATCTTAAGTTTAAAAAAAATAATAAATGTGCGGTGAATTTGATGTGTTTTCTTTGCTGCTGATTTCCATTAGAACTATGATGAGCACAGTAACCTCCTCTTGGTATTGTATAAATTAAAAATATTCTGTAAACCACTATATCATGTACAGTTGAACTTTTATTAAAACATGCATTTTTTTTCAAAATTCTGTAATTTTATATACAAACTTTGAAAATTTTCACTTACTACAGATATATTGAATTTCATATAAAAACTGAGTAGTCTATATTTTTTATGTTCCTGTCTTTAAAATTTTTCTCTTTTTTTTTGATTTACATATTAAAATGTGTATGAAATTCTATTATCCTTTAATTTTCTCTATATCCAGATAGAAATCTATTATGCATAGTATTGAGCTGATAGATGATAACATATTTAATATTTCAGCGTCAAAATTACAGAATATTTTTGACTTTAATCTGGTGATGGTTAATTTAATCAAACATTATTTTATGCTTTCATTAAAGAGTAAAATAATATGTTAAAGATTTGTTAAGTTCGCAGAATTGCAAATTATTTTCATGCCAGTCATACACAATCTCTTATACATATTGTAAATTTTTTGTGCGAACAATAATGATTTTTTCCCTTAAAAGGTCACTGATTATCTATAATTAATCTTTAAAATAAAGGACTTAGAAATTTATTCTATGAAAGCTCTGCAGAGAGTAAGATATCTCTATGTATTTCAGAGTGCTCTGGCAGCTCAGAAAGCATCAAACTGTAACCACATTCCATTAAATGAGTCACGGTTCATGAGTTCCATGTCAGCATTACAAGAACTGATATCATTCCTCTACATATCTGTGATAAAGACTGGGCCCTACCAGAACAAAATTAATGAAGTCCTGCATAATGTTGTGGATGTTGATAGTAAGGCTTTATTCTTTTATATATATATATATATACAGGTAAACTTCGGTATCTCGACATCGGATATGTCGACAACCTGGGATATGTCGAGGTCCGTCCGCGGTCACGGCAGTATTTACTATATAAATGATTTGCAAAAACTCTGATATGTCGACCTCGGTAATCTCGACAACCCTGGTTATCTCGACGTATATTCACAGTCCCATGAGCAAAATTTACCTGGTATATGTCGACATCGGCAATTTTCTGCTCCACTGAACCTAACTGTTTGTCAGATAGGGTCGCTCGTCACGCACGGACGGCTCCGGGTATCTCGACGTCGTCAAAAATTCACACCTTTCACACCCATGTTTTGACTGCACGCTGCTTAATTAATTCTATAGACTGTGTTTGTAGGTGAATCCCAAGCCCCCTCGGCGTCTTTGAGACGTTAATTGCTTAATGTTCAGCTTGGGTAATATCATTGCTAAATCTACACGATTCTGCTTAATTTACAGGTGTTTATTTATGTCGAAACCTAACATAACTTTTAAAATTGAAAAAGATAACTAAATTACAAAGAATAATAAACATATTGAATAAATTCAAACGAAAGAATTAAACGATGTTCTAATAATATTTTGTAGTTAAAATGCATTCAACAGGAAATAATCGATTAACGACAAGATTAACCGAATCATCCGTAATTCATGCATCTGTAATATCACTACGTTAGTTTAGATACACATATCTCTTAAAAAAATAATATTAATGCACATTCTTCCTGAATGAAATAAGAAAAAAAAATGATTACGCATTTAATATGTTTTCGTATCTCGGATGTCGACTTTATCATGTTTTTACAGTTCGGTTCGAAGTTTACAGAGCGCATTTCGTATCCTGTTCTGACAAAAAAGCAAGTAACACGCGAATGCTGGATGGAAAACTACAAAAATTTAGAATGATTTCGATAAAGAGAAAGAACAGGTTTTATAAATAAGATTTTAAAAAATAACTTCTTAGATTTTTAATAAAAATAGAGGGATTGCTGAAATAAGTTGACCTACAGTCTATATTGAATTCATGTACGTATAATAAGCTTATACACATGTATGTGTTTGGTTATGCAGTGAAATCTTGGACGTCAAGTCTCAACTCTGATATCTCGACACCTCGGATATCTCGACATTTTCCGATGGTCCCGTCGATGTCGAGACAACGAAGTTTACCTGTATATATATATATATATATATATATATATATATATATATATATATATATATATATATATATATATATATATATTAACTCACCTGAGCCAAAGGCTCAAGTGAGCTTTTCTGATCAAAATTTGTCCGTTGTCGTTGGTGTTGTCTTCGTTGTCGTTGGCGTAAACTTTTCACAATTTCAACTTCTTCTCCAGAACTACCGGGCCAATTTCAACCAAACTTGGCACAGAGTATCCTTGGGTGAAGGGGATTCAAATTTGTTCAAATGAAGGGCCACGCCCTCTTTCAAGGGGAGATAATAAAGAATTAGTGAAAAATTAATAGCATCTTTTAAAATCTTCTTCTCAAGAACCACAAAGCCAGGGAAATTGAAACTCATGTGGAAGCATCCTCAGGTAGTGTAGATTCAAATTTGTTCAAATCATGACCCCCGGGGGTAGGGTGGGGCCACGATGGAGGATCAAAGTTTTACATAGAAATATATAGGAAAAACCTTTAAAAATCTTCTTCTCAAGAACAGCAAAGCCCTAATTGGTCATATTTATATGGAAGCATCCTCAGGTAGTGGAGATTCAAATTTGTCCAAATCATGACCCCTGGGGGTAGGGCAGGGCCACAATGGAGGATCAAAGTTTAACATAGAAATATATAGGAAAAACCTTTAAAAATCTTCTTCTCAAGAACAGCAAAGCCATGATGAGTCATATTTATATGGAAGCATCCTCAGGTAGTGTAGATTCAAGTTTGTTCAAATCATGAACCTCGGGGGTAGGGCAGGGCCACAATGGAGGATCTAAGTTTAACATAGAAATATATAGGAAAAACCTTCAAAAATCTTCTTTTCAAGAACAGCAAAGCCATGATAATTAATATTTAAATGGAAGCATTCTCAGGTAGTGTAGATTCAAGTTTGTTCAAATCATGACCCCCGGGGGTAGGTGGGGCCACAATGGAGGATCAAAGTTTTACATAGAAATATATAGGAAAAACCTTTAAAAATCTTCTTCTCAAGAACAGCAAAGCCCTAATTGGTCATATTTATATGGAAGCATCCTCAGGTAGTGTAGATTCAAGTTTGTTCAAATCATGACCCTCGGGGGTAGGGCAGGGCCACAATGGAGGATCTAAGTTTAACATAGAAATATATTGGAAAAACCTTTAAAAATCTTCTTCTAAAGAACAGCAAAGCCATGATGAGTCATATTTATATGGAAGCATCCTCAGGTAGTGTAGATTCAAGTTTGTTCAAATCATGACCCTCGGGGGATAGGGCGGGTCCACAATGGAGGATCAAAGTTTTACATAGAAATATATAGGAAAAATCTTTAAAAATCTTTTTCTCAGGAACAGCAAAGCCCTGATTGATCATATTTATTTGGAAGTATCCTCAGGTAGTGTAGATTCAATTTTGTTCAAATCATGACCCTCGGGGGTAGGGCGGGGCCACAATGGAGGATCAATGTCTGAAATAGAAATGTATAGGAAGGTATCTTCTGATGAAGAACTGCAAAGCCATGATTAGTCATTTTGATATGGAAGCATCCTCAGGTAGTGTAGATTCAAGATTGTTAAAATGATGACCCCCGGGGATAGGGCGGGACCACAATGGGGGATCAAAAATTTTTTACATATAAACATATTGGAAAATATCTTCTTCTCAAGAAATGAAAATCATGTTTAGTCATTTTGATATGGAAGCATCCTCAGGTAGTGTAAATTCAATTTTTTTTTCAAATGTTACCCCCCAGGGGTAGGGTGGGACCCAATGGGGATCGAAAGTTTTACATAAGAACACATAGAAAAAATATTTCTTCTCAAGAACAGAAAAGCTATGTTTAGTCATATTGATATGGAAGCATCCTTGGGTAGTGTAGACTCAAGTTTTGTTCAAATGATGACCCCTGGGATAGGGAGGATCCACAATGGGGGATCAAAATTTTACAAAGGAATATATGGGAAAATTTTTTTTAAAAATCTTCTCAAGTACAACAAAGCCATTTGTTATATTGACATCGAAGCATCATCAGGTAGTTTAAAATTCAACCCCCCCAACCCCCCCCCCCCCAACCCCCAGTAATCTTTTCAATACTGAACTGATTTGTGTCTAGCTAATGTGCTCAGGTGAGCGATGTGGCCCATGGGCCTCTTTTTTTTTTTTTTTTTGCTGTTACCAGAGGATGCAGTGTTATTCACATTTTCTATTCTATCATTCATTTAGCAATTTGCATTTACCTCATTCCCTCTAAAAAAAACAATGTAAGATATCTTCACTTACCGATAACTAGTGCATGTTTCAAGGCTTTCTATATGACCTTATTTTCTTTGTGCATCCATCTATTTCTAATTATACATGTATGTGCTTCAAAAAGAAGTGTGGCAATCAGCATTTATGTCATGCGTATTAGATTGAATCTTCTGATTTTGCAGAAATTCATGTTTAAGACTTAATTTTCAAGAGGAAAAAAAATGTCAATATTCCTTACTTTTATTCTTTGCAGTATCTCGGTTTCCCAAACCCAGCTCATTGCTTACAGATTTTAAGGTGGTATGTGGTGACAAAGATCAATTATCTGCCCTTGTTCACCTGTTTGAACATCATATTGGTCAAGAATGGTTTGAACCATGGGATTCATTTAATTGGGTTGTGAACAATTTGTAAGTGAACAACAATATCAGATATGCATAAGATAATAGACTACATGTATGTATGAATATCAATCAGGTCAGATTTATGCCATTTGTATATAAATAAATTCAGGTTAAATGTGTCACAGAATAGTAACCTAATGTACATGTACCTTTGATTTTTTTCAGAATTCCTAGATTATTAGAAGTTGTATTAGGTGCCGGATTAGCCCTACCTAAAATAGTTAATAGTCTGTGTCGTTGTTTCTTCTTGTTGTCTCGGACGTTTGGCAAAGTGTTCGTGGAGAAAAAGGCAAGTTTTATTTCCTCTTCTGAACCATTGAATGAAATGAGCTATTCTGAAAAAAAAGCGTCTGGTGTCATTGGTGTAGTCTATAAACTTTTTACAGCGTTTGGGCACATAGGGCTAAAATTAAATTAAAAAAAATATACATTGGAAGTTTTTATGGTAATAATATTTCCAAGAAAAGTAATACCAAAGACTAGCAATAAATATACAGGTATTTGCTTGCAGCATAGATTCAAGTATGTTCATATATTGATGCTTGGGGTTTGGATAGGGTCAGAGCTATACATGTATATGAGAATTTATAGGGGTAAAATAAACTTGAATCATCTTCTCAAAAACAGCACGGTTATAATGTCTCTAATTGGAATATTAGCATACCAATATGTTTGAATATTGACTCCTAGGACTGGGATGGAACCAGAAGGGAGTGTCATATTTAAACATTGGATGCTATAGAAATAATAAGAATTCTTTGTTTAAAAATCAACAGTTCCAGAAGAAGTTCAAATTATGTATAAGCATCATCATGTAATAAACGTTCAAGTTTATACTCTTGACAGCCATGTGTAAGATTGGTATGGGGTCAAATTTTGCCCAAGTCTGTGTTTACATCTGAACATTTTCAGCTTCTTCTCTGCAACCATTGTTCTATGAGCAAAGGAATAAAAAATTGAATTGATGGATTTATGGATATGTAGAAGTGAGGAGGAAGTCACATTTTTATTATGTGGTTTAATCTCACTATTTCAAACCCTTGGATATTTTGAATTTTTTTCTCAGCCCAATCGAGTTCTAGATAATGAGATTTGACTGCAATTATAAACTTGCCATTCCATGTATCCATTACAGGGTTATATTGTAATCAGGTGACCTTTAAGGCCCTTGGGCTTCTTGTTTAATTTACATATGCACTTGTATGCTCACATTCTTTTGAACCTGTGACTCAGGTGAGTGTTGTGTCCCAAGGAATAGGTAGCATTTCCAGTTTATTTTCTTTTTGTAAAACTACAAATGTTAAATACTTTACTTTACATACATGAAATGAATATATTTTATTCATATTGATCCACATGATTCTATTTTTGTATTTAGATGAGACCAAAATTCATAGAGCTGTTGGTTTTGACAGATGAGCACACTGGTAATTATACATGTATATGCTAAAAGATAATCATCATCAGTAAAAAGTAAAATTCATTTAAGAAAGTAATGGTATGACAATCAATTATATCTTTGAAACCAGTGAATTCATGTCAGAAATAATAGATATTATGTTGTCTGTTTATAATATAAATGTACATGTACATGTCATGCTGATGCATAAGGTATATATAAATTTTATGTCGTTAAGTATATCTATTGCAACCTTTCTGCACTCAGACCACCGCGGTTATGCGGCTGCCAAACAGACCAGTGTCACCACCTGTATTGTCCCTGTGTATGCAGCGGGAGTCTTGTCAGCATTTAATTCTGTACATTCCTTTCTAGATTTACCTTTTCTTACATATTAATTCCAAACTTTCTATCGATAATTTTTAATCATATTTTTGTTTGTATTTTTTTACCATTGTATCTATGCTCATTCTTACTTACTAGGAGGAAGACAGACAGCAGCTGATTCAGTTCCTACAAGAAATCCTATGTACTTTATCCATGTATCAAGCCCCCCTAGACAGCCTAAAGGCAGCATTTACTGAACTCAGGTAGGTTTGATAAAACAGTCCTAAAGACAGCATTTACTGAACTCAGGTAGGTCTTATAAAATAGTCCTAAAGGCAGCATTTACTGAACTCAGGTAGCTCTTATAAAACAGTCCCATAGGCAGCATTTACTGAACTTAGGTAGGTCTTATAAAACAGTCTTAAAGGCAGAATTTACTGAATTTAGGTAAGTCTTACTAGCCAATCTAAAAGCAGCATTCACTGAACTCAGGTAGTTCTTACTGTGTAGGTGTGCATAGTTGCAGGAATTTCTTAATTTTTTTTTCTGGGAGTTGTGCCCCTTTTGAACTTAGAAGTTTGTCCTCCATCATATTATGTCTTGTCTCTCCCTAGTGCCAACCCCAGTAACCATGAGCTGTTGTTGACTGTCCTTTGGGATGGAGTGGTGCACTCCTCTTCCCAAGTCCGAGCTTCAGCTGCAAGACTGTTTGAGGCAAGTAATTCTCATGTTCAAGAAAACAGTGAATTCACACAGAATGTAACTGTTCTAATATCCATGAAATATGAATATAAAAATGGTGTAATTTTTAGTGATATCACAGAGGGTTTTTTTCTGCAGTTGATGGTGAAAGGTGTTGGAGAGAATCTCATCTCTACCAGAGTCTTTCCTGCACTAGTCACACTTGGAACTGATGCTGAAATGTGAGTACATTGTTTGGAAATATACATGTATGTGTCATCTGAAATGACAGATTATCACAAATATGTGTGCTTGACAAATTCTGTATAGCAGATTTTTTGGTTTATTTTAGTGATTTGGTAGTAGATTGCTAAATTTAAATCGATAAGTTTGCACCCTCACTTATAAGTACAGAGCACAAGAAATATAGCTTTGATCAATCTTTTTACCATTGTATCTATATTTTGGTTTCTCTTAAACTCTCATATAAATCAAGATTCAAATGTACAAACCTGCGGAAAACTTTAGAAAATTTACTTCCTCTCTCTCTGCACTGAATGCAAAAAATGTTCCGCCAAAGTTATTGGCATATCTTTTCCCAAGTAAAATGGCAAATTTTACACTTGCTAAAGAAACCCGCTATACAGTAATACCAGAATCTTTTTGGTATTTTACAGTAATGTCAGAACAGCTACCATTCCTGCTCTTGGAGCCATAATAGAGAATGTGTCTCTTGTTGATGTAAGTATTTGTAAAGTTGACCCTTTAAGAAATCTTCAATTTAACACAAATAAAAAATCTACAAGTACTTTGCTATTGTAAAGCTCTGCACTACCGTGTCCTGTGTGTTACTACAGCTTCATATTTAAAATCCCTCTTTTCCTGTAAGTTCAAATGCTAGATAGAGTATTCAAGGGTTGTTTAAGAAAACCACAAACATTTTCAACACTTTTTTGCTTCACTAATACTATAAACTTGAAAATTGGCATGCACTGTAATTAGTGTTGTCAACGAGTACCCGGTTAACCGGTTAATTGTCAAAAGATGTGAGTATCGGTTAGTAAAACTGCTACAGTGTACTCGGTTACTCGGATATACATGTATAGACAAAAGTAGAAAAGGAATGCTATTTTGTTCAAAAGCGATTACTTACACGCCCATTTTATTTATGGTTATTTAACGTTATAGACTTGATGATCGGATCTGACTAGCATTTCACAAACACGACCAATTTGTTTTGATAACACTTAGTTTTCCCAGTTTATCTAATTGAAAGCTTTGATTGCAAAGGGGTATATACAATTTAAATGACCGGGGTTAATTATAATTACCTCACTTATACTGTGCTAGTCCGCAGTACAGGATTAATTTTAAACAAGATGCCGCCACAGCCATCAAAAGCATAGATTCCTAAATGTTTTAAAAGAATTTAAATCCAAAAGGTGTAAAATATGTAAAATGAAATTAACATACACAGAAATGTAACTGAAACCAGTGTTATATAAAGGACACCCCGCAAAAATTGCTAACTATTATGGGATATTCAAGAACAAATTCATTTAGAAATTTTAATTTGTCTTTTTGTAATTAAAAATATATGAAGTGCATCTACAGTGCATTTGATATTGGCCGGTATATAAATGTTAAATATGGAAATTGTAACGACGTTACATATATAACAGTATGTATTGAATATATACTGGGAGCAAGGATGTTTCGAGGTCTGAAGAAAAACCATGCTAGTAACCGGGTACTGGATAGGAAAAGTAAGCAAGTAACTAGTTACTAAAAATCATCCGATCCGACAACACTAACTGTAATGAACCTTTTTTGAATACCTGGTACACTAGATTTATTACCTCAGATTCTAGAAAATGTACACTGGGTTTGTTACTTTTAGATGTTAAGCAAAGTTGTTTTTGTTAATTTTAAATGTTAGACAAAGTATACATATATTAATTTTTTTGTGATTTTCAGATGTTTGGCAAAGTATACATAATTTGTTATTTTTATTTTCAGATGTTACACAGTGTAAACATACATTGGTTTGTTAGACGAAGTATATATATAGTTTTTGTTATTTGCAGATGTGAGACAGGGTATTCATAAATTGGTTTTGTTATTTTCAGATGTTAGACAGAGTTTACATGCAGTTTATAACCTTTATGGATGACCCAGTCTACAGAAATGAACATGAAGTCATAATTGAGTTGATTCGCACACTCGCTCGAGTTGGTCCAAATGCTGAGCCTCGTTTCCGAGATGATTGTAAGTACATTTTACACTCTTTAGTATGGGATGTGAGGAAAAGAATCTGATCCCAACAAACAGACACACAGATAAATGCAATATCTATGCCCCTTCATGTAGCTTTTCTATTAAGAAGAAAAGTTAGAGTTTCAGTTTAATATTATAACAAGATTTAAGGCATAATCCAGTAGAAAAGTAAAATGACAACTAATTTTCAAATCATTCTGGGGCAAGACTGCATGTATAGCACACACTCTATGTATTGTATACTGTAGATCACCAAATTTTCATGACACTTTATTTTCATGAGATAGTAATATTGTATTTATAAGCAAGATAACATTTTTGTGATTTCTTGTTATTGTTCTATTAATCTTTAATAATACTAGTATACGCAAGAATGAAATTTTCAGAAACAGATGGCCTCGTGTAATTACACGAAAATAAAGTTCTCCCAAATAAAAAGGGATTTACAGTATACTCTTATAGTAATACATTAATTCTAAAGATTATTACATTTGTATTACATTTGTTTTCCCTTTCCCATTTCTTAACTTGAGGAAAAAAATCCAAGCCATAACTTAAGATGTCTTTTGCATTCATATATTTCAAACTTGCATCATAAAACAATGAAGTTTAGATGGGATGCACTACACCAAAAGTTTTGACTTGTCGTATGAATTAAAACTTATATTAAGACGAGCTGACAATGTTATGATGTAGTTATTTTTGAGCAGTATGAAAGATGGATGGCATTAATGAGACTTTTCAACTGGCCCTTGACATTACCCCACATCATACTTTTGCACTCGTTAATGTAACCCCATTATAAGAAAACCAAACCTTTATTGGGGGTTATGGTTTATTTTTGTAAATATCCACTAGTTGTTAATTGAAAAGCTACCCTAGAGGGATGAGGGAATTATTTAATGTCTTTGTATGCTGAATGACTCTCTGTTGAGGAAAAATATCTAGAAACTTGTAGAGACACAAACATATGTTCATTTGTCATTGTGTAATGAACTATAACCAGCAGCTAAATTGCTTTAAAAAAACACATAGGAAATGCTTAGATCCCCAGCTCTTCTCTGTTTACAATCAATTCTCGGTCAGTTTAGAATGAAGGGAAGTGATAATTATTGTTCTGGTTGGATGGATGCCAGTTCTCAATAGATAATAGACATTCATCATCTTTTGATGTGCTCTATTTTTAGCTCACTTGAGCCATAGGCTATAGTAAGCTTCTCTGATCAAAGTTTGTCCGATGCATGTATGTTTATTGTTTTGTGGGCAAACTTTTCACTTCACTTCTTCTGAACCTCTACACCAATTCCAGTCAGATTCGTTGCTGAGCATCATTGGGTGAAGAGGTGAAGTTTATTTAAATTAAGATCTAGTGGGTATAAAGGAAGGAAAATTCTTTAAAAAATGTGAAATTAGGATATGGTCATTTATTGAAAATTTTCTCAAAAACCAGAAAAGACAAAACTTAACAAAAAGTTTGTTAAAGATAAGATTTTCATTTTTTTTTTCTTTAAGCTCGCGGGCTTTGGATTGGTCACACTTCCACTGAATATAAAAGTTTTATATTGGAATATGTAAGAGGAAAATTTTAAAATCTTCCACTTAAGAAAATTAGGACCACATTTAGTTGAAGATATACCTAGGGTAGAAATATATAGACTTTTTCAATATGAATAGGGATCCTCTTTGAAATTAATATCAATAAATTGTTTCTGTCAGGTGAGCATTGTGGCTCATTAGCCTCCTATTTTGATGGTATAATTTGCTGTGGTCAAACACATTACATTCTGCTTAAAACAAAAAAAAAACCAATTTCAAAGTAAATGAATTTATTTGAAATAAGGATTTAACGCTTTTGCTAAGGTTCACATCTATTGTTATTACATTTCTTTTAGTCAAGTTACAATTTGCACAGTATGTTTTTACTTTCTTTAGAAATGATTAGGATTATTCAATTAACTAATGTTTAAGAGCCCAGTCTTGTGATAAGGATGAAAGCAAGGGAGAATTTCTTGTTTACTTTTAGAAGTGTAATTAACCTGCTCTTTCTTATGTCAGGAACTGGTTAAATTGATTCTCGAGTGTTATTACCAGCATCCAAACATTTCACCTTAAGTAATGCCAGCTTCTTAGGGATGTTCTGTTCAATGTATGCTGGAGTGAATTATTTTAAAAGAGGGAGGAAAAAATTGTCTTGTCTACAGATGATTGGTGTGGTGACATAGTGATGTGTCAAAATGCCACAGTTCAAAATTTATGTAAGATCATTATATACTTTATCAACACATTGTTTTATTTTCGTTACTTCCATAACATATTACCCAAAGTTGATAAAGAAAAAGTCATTTGTTGCAAATGTTGGGTTAGATTTTATTCATGTGTGTAAGAATAGAAAATTTTTTGATTTATTTCACAAAAACAATTTATTTTCCCTTTGATTAAATTGTTTTTAAAATTTAATTTATGTTTTTTCCCCAAAATCTAGATATTTATACAATCACAATTTGATGAGGCTTAAATTGCTGAATACCTTCAAGTATTTTATAAAATAAGGTGTGGCAATTTCTTATGTTATTCTTCTGTCCATAATTATTATAATATTAAAAAAAAAAACAACATACACTGTAAGATAAAATATAACTGCATTTTGGATACATACATGAATTTGACAGAGAACAGGGAATGCTTTGGATCAGCTGATTATCATCATCATGTTAATGTTTAAGGATTTCTTATGAATAATTAATGCAGTTAAAGGATTAATTATTCATGTACATGTGTATATTAAAATTACTTAACGCAATCCCTCAAGAAATGATAATTGCTTAATTTAATGTTATTTCTTGTATTCAGTTAGTAATTCTATGATCACTCCCATGTCAGTCTAAAAGTTCATGACACTGAAAAGATAAAAAACAAACACTTGTAAAATCATGGTCATATAGCAAGTATTGCTATGGACAGGAACTGATAATCCGTGTGTCTTCTAAACAGTTTCTTGCCTGCTATAGAAATTGTTTTGTCAGAATACTAATTAGGATTCCCCCTCTCATCACAAGCATACAGATTAAATTATTCTCAGCAGTAACTCCCTCTGATGTTTTTCTAGGCTGACTTCTGATTCCAACTTAGAGGTTAAACACATGGTGGTCTGGGTTTTTGTTCACCTTTTTTTAGAATACATCCTTGACAGGTGTAGGTAGTTTAATTATACACTTTATTTAATTTTGGGGCATTTATCATATGGTATGACATAAACACAGTTATGTTTTGGTTATTATTAAACAGTTGTTCAGACTGATTTTGCAATCATGTTGAAAATTTATGTTTTTGAGTGCATTGATGATAAGCATCAGACTCAAAAATGTAAATAATTACTGCAGCTCATAATTAAGAAGAGGTGTATGTATCTTAAAATTATTAATTTTTGTGAAACTTAAAGTGCATTGAATTTCAAAACAGGACCATAAGGAAGTGTTTTTCTGAGTGTTATAATTATATTTTGGTCATATAAGGAATCCTACAAAATTTTAAGGAATAATTGTCTATTTTTGGCATGTATGAGGTTATAACTAACCTGAAGCATGTGATTATTTCTATAGGTCAGTTACTGTAGATGTACTTTTTTCTGTGTGGGAAATAATTTATGCTATGTACATGGTCCGAGATTTTCCATGGAAATTTTTCACAGTGTAATTACGAGCAGTTATTAACTGAGTTAAGACATACACTTGCAATACTAGTCCAAAATATCTGATGTTTTCCAGGCTATTTTCACGATTTTGATATTTTATGTGCCAGGAAAATGTCAGAACCAGCGCCATTATGAAAACTGGAAATTTCGCTGTCTCCACCCGGAGTTGGTTTTCGATACTTACGTACCGAATTAAATGTCGAACTCAAAATTTATCAGTAGAACAATGCTTCTAGTACTCACCAATATCGATGAAAAGAAAACATCACTCCACATTTTAATATGGGATTTGTAAGATTTTAAAATGCACGAAATGAAAACAAATCTCAAGAGTTAGATAAAATGTTTTCATCGTATTGTATATTTTATAAACGAACCATAAAAACAATGTTGATGAGTACTAAAAGTATTGTACTATTGATAAATTGTGAGTTTGACTTTTAATTCAGTTCGTAAGTATCGAAAATTGACCCGAGAATGTTGCCTCCGGTTGGAGGCGGCGACCCAGTTTATGTAATGGCGCGGGTACTGGCGTTTTCCTAGCACGTAAAATACCAAAATCGTAAAAAAGCTAGGAAAAATGTCAGATATTTCGGACTATTGCAATACAAGAAATCAGCATAATTTTTTACCCAGGGATTGAACAGATGCTGTGATTTCATGGAATTATAACCCTGTGGAAAAAAGTTCATTTACAGTTTCATCCTCATATACATCATAAAATAAACATATTTATTTATTTAAACATTTTTACCTCGCAGTTACCATACATGCCAACTTTTGAAAATTCCCATGGGGGATTTTGCGCGTGATGACAATTTTCAAAGCTTTAAATTCGCGACATTTTGTCGTGAAAATAAATGTTTATCCCATTTTTTTTTTAATTTATAATATCAATATCACTTGTTAATACAATTTAAGAATAATTAATACAAACAAATTTTTTCCTTCCAAAATTCAAATTTCTTTTTAGTTTAACAACATTATGTTTGAAAAAGACACATAATTTGGTGAAAATGTACAACTTTCAGTTCAAATAAATTTTTTTGGAAAGTTTTAGAAATATATATATAAGGTTTTGTTACTGTACAGTTTCTGGGAAACATTTGTTAAATTCTATATTTACATTTTACACAATTAGAATTTCCTTATTAGACATTAAATTGAAAGAAATATTGAAAAATTGCAATGCATTGTGTGTGTGAGTGAGTGTGTGAGTGTGAGACAGAGAGAGAGAGAGAGATAGGAAAATTTGTTTGTGGTATGTACTTTAAATAGAAGTGTCATTTTATTCCCTATT